CAAAGGACTGGGAAGAGGACACAACTCTGACAAAAGTCAGCGCTAAAGTTTTTATTCCGTCCCAAAATACAATGTGTGTTGAGGATAATCAGCATGCGTCAAAACTGTTTGAAACTTCATTCACATTTCAAGAGGCAAATAGCCATGAAATTTTTATGAGTGATGAAGGTAGTTTTGATGGTCCAAATTTTGCAACGAATCTGTGCAATCGTCTGCAACAATGCTCGAGGAAAATGCGTGAATCACCGGTGGTCAACTCGAAGCCAAGACCATGCCTGATGAGAGGGAATGCAGCTCTGAGAGAATCCCACCCGTGCACCAAGACCCAAACAAACCTGGGCCATGGTGTAGAGACAGTTTTCCAATTTGAAGAAGAGTGCAATGAAGCAATCATTGACACGGGGGCTAGCCGGGCAGTCATTGGGTCGAATCGTCTTAAAGGGCTTATTGATTCCTGTGGCCTGGCTGGTAAGGTGAAAGTGACTCCCTCCAAAGTTGTTTTTAGATTTGGCAATGCGGGCACTCTTCAGAGCACTTCAGCAGTGTTCTTTCCACGGAAAACTGGCGGTTGGATCAGAGTTGAGGTGGTTCCGGGTCAGACACCATTCCTACTGTCTAATTCAGTACTAAGGTCTCTCAAAGCCGTGGTTGATGTTGATGGGGGAATGTTGTGGTTTAAGGGGAGTAATGATGGGGTACCCCTGAAGTCTTGTAGGAAGAACCTCATGAGTGTGGATTTTGGGAAGATACTGGAGATTGGAAAACAGGGATCCAAACAGGAGGACGAAATCCATGTTGCCACCCATGGGACGGAAAACATGAACGACACCGACATGAAACATGATGAAAACATGCCCACACATGAGTCAGCTCACCATCCAGTGGTTCTCATAGGCACGACAAATGTACAGAATATTGAAGACCATGAGGAACCATGCCATGTTAATGAATTCTGCCACAGTAAACATGCCGCAGCCATTTGCCCAACTCAGAGTGTGAACGAATCATCGACACGTTCCACCACAGATAATGCCGACGGAACAGATGGATACCAACTATCTAGACCAGAAGCTCCAATCGGAGATCAATCCCGAATTGACCATGGCCAAGAATCCGCAGACAAGCAGTGCGGAAGTGCTCCAGCATCCACCGGAGGTGAGCACTCTCCGCGAGTGGGGTCAATATGTGCTGCCGGAAGGGAAGCACCGTGGAAAGACCTTCAGCGAAGCATTCAAGGATCAGAACTATGTGTTTCAACTACGAAACCGCAAGGCAGTCTCACAGTGGGTCAAGAGTTTCCAGATGTACAGTCGGACTCGAGTTCAAGCCGATTACATCCAGTCGCAGAAGCTCCAGGAACAGGGATTTCCAGTCACTGTGGAGATGCTCAATCGAAACGAAGTGAAACCATTCCCGACTCAGATCAAAGGCGATCAGAGTCCAACAAGAGTGGATGCGGAGTCCCAGGCATGGGTCAAGATCAAGGAGGTAAAATCTTCCAAGATCGAGACCGGAAAGAAAAGGGCCACGTGCGCATCAGGGAGCGAAGCTCCCAATCTTCCAATGTCAACCGAACCGAATGCAGAGAAAGTTCAGCAGCTGAAAGTCAACATCGCCTTGCTCCAGCGAGAACTGGCGCGCGAGACACAAGGGCTCAGCGATGGCGAACCCCAGTAGATGAAGAAGTTGATAAGGCGGTTGAATATATTAACAGCAATGCTGAACTTTCAAGACTGAGTGCTGACCAGGAAAAGTTGATTCATCAGGAACTGGCCCTCAAGATTGCTGAGGTGGAGGACGGGTTGTCCAAATTGCCCCAAAGAAATGCTGCCCTGAAGAATCAACCGAACCTGGTATCGCCCAACAATTCGAGACACAGCCACAGTCGGCCATCGGACTTACTTGAAGTATATTGTGGTCCCACTTCCCAAATTACTCACCATGTCAGCAAAAGAGGTGGTAGAGCCATGCGTTTTACCTGTGATGATGGGGATTTAGGAACATGTGAAGGAGTCCAAAAACTTTGGTTGTGGATATATCTCTATGAACCACGTCTATGAACCACGTCACATTTGGCTTGCACCAGAATGCCGGTTATGGGGAAAGTTTTCAAGTCTGAACATGTCCAAAAGCCTCGAACTACATGATAGGATTGCCCGACAAAGAATTGAAAACCGTCATCACCTGCAGTTGTGCAATGAAATCTATTTGTATCAAACTTCCAAAAGAAGACATGTGCATCTTGAACAGCCAAGTGAATCAATCATGTTGGAACAACCTGAGTTAGCCGATTTCAGAGATGGAACGTTGCCTTCAGTGTTCGACATGTGTAAAATTGGGAAACTCAAGATGCCCCAAAGTCAGTTGTACCTCCAAAAACGAACCAGGGTAAACACCAGTAGTGGATACCTTGACCACCATCTTCATGAAAGGTATTGTGACAGAAAACATGAACATATGGTTATTCAAGGGTCCATGAAACATGAAGGAAAATACGTGAATGTTTCCACCTATGCAGCTGCTTACACGTCCTCGTTTGGGTCCTTTGTTGCTGATAAGCTCCTGAAAGAGTGTGGTTTTTGTGAACCCCCTGTTGTTCTTTTTCGGGAACCCGATGATGTGTTTGCGGTTGGTGAAAAACATGTAGCACCAGACCCGGCACCTGAAGATTCCCAATGCCAAAAAGGGCGGCGGCATGGAATTAAAGGACCACCGCGTGGAGCTGATCTTGACACTGGGCCACCACTATCATTTTCCGGTTATGGGAAAGCTCCCTCTTGGGGTGATGCAATTAGGCGAGTTACAAAGTCTTTACCTCGGGTTGGTAATCTTGTGATTCACAGTGAAGACCCAATGTGTCAGGACTTCCACATGCTTGTTCCTGAACTTCAAGTCAAGCTGGTTTTGTTGTGCCGTGGAACCGAAAAGTATCGTACACCAGGAAGTCATGCTGAGCATCAGGACATGCCATGGAGAAAGACTATTTTGGTCTCTAGGGATGATGGCTCAATTGTTGATTTGGGGCCACCCGAAAATTGGGTTCGTTTGTCAAAGCTTCAGCAAACGAGGAAAGCTGGCTCAGCAAGGATTTCTGTCACGGTGTTTGGGGAAAAATCTGATGGTGTCTCTGACCGTCGACAATCAGATGCCCCGGCAACTGACCGCTTCGTTCAAAATGTTCTGCCCCCATTGGAGTCAATCGCAACTGGCCGAGAAGAACTGCCTTCTCAAAGCTTTGACCTCAATGTTGAAAAGGCAGAGCCTCCTGTGGCACTGCTTCCAGCACCAGAGACGGACCCAACAAGGAGTGTAAAAGAAAATATTATGGAAGGTTGGGCCCCAAAGATTGTGCCCCGAAGTGGTCCCGCATTTCAATCATTGGATCCTCAAAAGCGTAGTGATTTGAGACATTTACACTCAAATTTGGGACACCCTAGTCCAGAAAAACTGTGCAGACTGCTCAAAGAGCAGGGTGCTGATCAAACGGTAATTGATGCTGCCAGAGATTTTCAATGCGATGTATGTGTAGAGAATCGTCGAGGTCCAAAACTGCCCAACCCAGCCACCATACATGAACCTAGGGATTTTAATGATGTGGTTGGATGTGATGGGGCCTATTGGAAGGGCGTCGGGGGTGTTACTTATCATTTCCTTCATTTCATTGATGAGTCAACCCTTTTTCACCTTGGGGCAGTTAGTGGCCGAACGGTAGACCAACAAATATCAACTTTCGAAAACGTTTGGATGCAATGGGCTGGTCCTTGTAAAGTTCTGTACCTAGATCCGGCTGGGGAATATGTCAATGACAAATGGCACACCTTTCTCCAGAAAGAAAATATCAAGGTGTCGATGTCAGCCGGTGACAGCCACTGGCAGCTCGGTCGCGCAGAGGCCCATGGACGTATAGTGAAACAGATGTTGACATCAATGGATGTTGAACAGCCAATTGAATCGGTTGAGGATTTCAAGCGGTGTCTGAGACAGGCTTTTTCAGCCAAAAATGCATTGGGACAAGTCCGTGGGTTCAGCCCTGAGCAGGCCGTCCTGGGAAAGGCAAAGGCCCTTCCCGGATCTCTCATGGCAGACAGCCAAGCTGCAGCCCACTCGTTGCTTGAGTCCGAGACACCGGACGGCATACAGTTCCGTGAAGACATGGCCAGGCGTGAAAGAGCCCGCCGTGCCTTTATTCAGGCCGACAACAGTCAAGCCCTCCGAAGAGCCCTTCTAAGAAGACCCAGAATTGACAACACCGAGTTTGAAAAGGGGGATTGGGTACTTTATTGGAGACATAGTAAGGGGAATTTAAAGGGAGATAGAGGGCGATGGTATGGGCCAGGACAAGTTGTCGTCAATGAAAGCCAGAAGGTAATTTGGATTAGCCATGCAGGGTATCTGATCCGAGCGAGCCCACAACAGGTTCGGCCAGCTTCCTTGCGGGAATTTAGAACCCTCCAACGCGGACCAGAAGGCAAAATTGATGCACCTCAGGTTAACTCTCAGTGTCGAAATTTTGTTGATTTGAGTGCCGAAAGTCCAGCGGAGGATCACCCAGAGCAAAACGAACCGCAAGCAGATGTTCCGGAAGTACCCATGAGCACCACCAATAGTCAACCGGACGGTGAAATGTTTCCACCGGATTTGGCTTCAAATGGCTATACCCCTACTAGTCCAGCTGGGTCTATTCGGGGGGATGAAGTGGTTGAGGTCCCAATGGACGGTGATGAAAAGAAGGAAGCCCATGAAATACCTGTTCCGGTTGATGGTGAAGATTCATGGTTTGGGGATGATGTTACTTGTGTTACTGGTGATGCGGGATATTGGGAGATATGTTTTGGCAATGGTCCTGAACTTGGTTTGGATGCTGATTGTGATACCAATTTCTATGAAAACCCCGAACTAGGAGAATGGTTGCTCATGGCCACTGACACTCGGAAACAGAAGGTCGAGATCCAGTGGAACACTCTGACGGAGCCTGAAAAGGTAAAGTTCCAACAGGCTAAACAAAAGGAGATCAAGGCTTGGGTTGACCATAAGACAGTTTGTAGATTGGCTAGGGGCACCCTTAATGATAGCCAAATAATGAGATGCCGTTGGATCTTTACCTGGAAGCCACCTGCTCCAGGATTCACGGAAGAGAGAGCAAAAGCAAGACTAGTCATCCGTGGATTTGAGGATCCCCAGCTTTCAACCATCTCCGCCGATGCTCCAACACTGACGAAGGATGGGAAACAGTTGGTCCTACAACAAGTAGCCAGCAGGGGTTGGAAGCTTATCAACTTTGACATAGCAACCGCTTTCTTGAAAGGGCAAGGAGATGGACGCAAGCTTGGAATACATGCTCCAGTTGAATTGCAACAGGCAATAGGCCTACAGAAAGATGAGCAGTGCGGCCTGTTGGGCGGTGCTTATGGCAGGGCAGATGCCCCTCTTTTGTGGTACCGAACTCTCAAGCAAACGCTAGAGAGCCTGGGTTTTATAGTGTCCCCATTTGATGGATGCGTATTTTCACTGGTCACGAAAGACCACCATGGGAAACCCAAGGTCCGAGGATGCTTGGGATTACATGTCGACGACGGGATTGGGGGTGGAGATGAATATTTTCGGGAGGTCATTGGTCGGCTCCGGAAGAAGTATGAGCTTGGGGCTTACAATGAAGGGGAATTTGAGTTTTGTGGTGTTAGGTATTTTCAGTGGGATGATGGGTCCATTGAGATGACACAAGATTCCTATATTCAACGTATCCACCCCATAGAAATTCCTCGAAGTCGGAGACAGGATCCCCAAAGTCCTTTGAGTCCAGTAGAAGTGCAGCAGCTGCGACAAATTTGTGGAAGCCTTCAGTACGCGAGCGTACACACCAGGCCTGACCTAGCAGCAAAAATAGGTGAGCTTCAGACTGCTGTCACCAAAGGCAAGATCGAACATTTGATCACAGCAAATAGAGTTTTGTATGAGGCTAAGTCTCATCCTGTAAGTCTGATGATCGTGCCTATCAAAGAACAGCAGGTAACGTTCTGCGCGTTCTCCGATGCTTCATTTGAGACGGGAAAGGGACAATCAACTCGACAAGGAACCATAATATTTTCCACTGATGGCAGGTTGGAAGAGAATGTGAAGACTGTTATTTGTCCTGTTGCTTGGTCTTCAAAAAAGATCCCTCGAGTCGTTCGAAGCACATTGAGCGCCGAAGCAGTTGCTCTCGGGTCTACTCTGGACAGGCTGAGCTGGATTCGTGTGTTTTGGGAATGGATGAAAAGTCCTGACATAGATTGGTCAGAACCCAGTGCAGTTCTTCGTATGGCCCCTAGGTCTGTTGTTGCAACTGATTGCAAGTCCGTGTATGACCTGTCTACAAAGACATCCACGCCAGCATGTGCCGAAAGTAGAACCACTTTAGAATGCCTTCTCATCAGAGAAAGGTTGCAGGAAAACTGTCGATTGAGATGGGTAAATAGCAAAGCCATGCTAGCTGATTGCCTTACAAAGTCTATGGATGGTCAGGTATTGAGGCATGCATTGATGGTTGGGAGATACTCTTTGTTTGATGAAAACACCATCTTGAGAGACCGTGCAACCAAAAGGGCTCAGTTGAAATGGATAAATGATGGAACCGAATATGGGGCAGCACATGGTCAGACATGAAAATAATTTTGTGGTTTGTGTTTGTTTTTCTTTTTGTTGTTTTTTGATGAGTGTTAATGTTCAACATTCCATATGACACATGGTGCTGCTTGTCCCATACGATTTCCATTGAGATCCCATGGAACTCCAATTTGGCGCCCATCCGTGCGCTCCTTCTCAAGCGGGTGGGAGGGCGGACTTCATTGGTGGACAGCGAAACTGGGTGTCGCAGGTTGCAGTGGTTGGGGACCCTCAAGTAAGGATTTTGGGAATATCAGATTCACAATACATATATACATATATACATATATACATATATACATATATACATATATCGATATATCGTACATTGATCTACATATGACAAAGTGGTTGTTCGAACCCTGGCTTTGGGCTTCCCCACCACGATGTCGACACCTTCCTCCAAGGCCCGGAACTGCTCCTGGACTGCTACGGCTTGTATTGTTTGAGCATGTATAGTTATACTGGTTGGTGATTAATAGTGATTAATGATGGTTAATGGTGGTTAATGATGGTTAATGATGGTTAATAATAATCTGGGTGGTTTTAACCATGGCTAATAGTGATTAATAGTGTGGTTAATAGTGGTAGTGATTAATACCTGATCCAATGAATATAGTTACACAGTATAACTACCCCTCTGAAAAATATGAAAGTCAATGGGAAGGATGACATCCCATATATGAAATGGAACATAAAAAATGTTCCAAACCACCAAGCAGTATAGTGTTGGTATTCAGGATTGAATTTACTACACTGTTTCGATCTGTTTCAGGATTGCTATAAATTGAAATGTTTGAGTTTTAGCATGATTCAAATAGTTATGCTGAGAAGCTCCAATCCCAAGAACATTAATTCATAAGACTTCCAAACCTAATAATTGGCAGGATCGACTTGATGGTTGAGGTCTATTCAGCCAACATAAAGCAATGATTGAGAGATGGATTTAACATGTGAACAAAGAAAGAAGGGATGTTGTACTGAAAAAAAACATCTGCAGAATGCAGCTAGAAAATAGGTGTTTTTTTTTCTATATACACAACACCCCGAGCACACCGAAAGCAAGGAGGCTGGAACCAGGGAATTTCATGGGCGGCGGGTTCGTAGTTGCGAAGCGCTCCCAGCAAAGTGCTGGCACATTCTCAGAAGTCATTCAGCGGTTTCAAAAGCGGGAGGTGGAAGCAATGTAGCTTTGCAAATGAGGTACACGTAAATCTCGTGGTTGATGATTTTCCCTACCAAAATTACACGCCTAAGGGTATATTCGGCAGACTAGCGATTCATCATACAGCGCTTTTCTCTCGTCCCATTCCCGTCTTTCCATGGGCTATCTGGGTGGCAGGGCATTGAAAATGGCCTTTTGCCTGCGACGAACGCAAAACCAACAGACCTGTGAGAAAAATTGCTTGTCTCCGCAAAAAACCATCCAATATGTAGTTCTTCAAAATCATCGAAATATATATCTTACCCCTGATCCCTGTTCATCACAAGAATCATCCTTTCACCTTTTCACTGACCCGAATGGCCCATCGGCGGCCCAATTGGTCACCTTTTCGTCGATCCCTCCCACAAAGAGGGTGATGCGAACGGTGGGATTGTCCAAGTACTTGTTAAAGGTGGTCATGCCTGATGCGCCCAGAGGTTGAAACCTCCATGGAACTGTTTCTCAGTGTTTGTAGATTGGCATTTTACATTTTGTCTGATTAAAAAAAAAACAAAGGGATTACAGTAAAAAAAAAACAAAGGGATGTTTGGCCCACACGGTATATATTTAGTTTCGATAAGATTTAGAAGTACTAGTACGTACATTGATTCGTACGGACATGCTGCGCATGGTGCTACAAAACCTTGAGCAATTCCCCGTTTTCCCATCTCATATGGTTGACAGGCTTCTCATTCATAGGGGTTAGTTATGGCTAGTTCATAATCCCCGAGAACCAGATACCGTAATACCCCCTGTGGTAATTTAACATAGCTATGGAAAATTGCCCATGTCGTTCGATGATTTACCGAACTTGGTGATTTTCCTGGCACGATGGGGACAGAAGCTCATTTTTTTGTCCCAAAGATCTGGATGAATGATGAATGATGCGTATCAACTAACAGTACCCAACTAATGATGGCTATAAGCAACAAATCATTGGTTGATATAACCAACCAATGGCAAGTTATAGCTATAACCAACCAATGGTAAGTTATAGCTATAACCAACCAATGGTAAGTTATAGCTATAACCCCTATAACAACCGCTATAACTTACCCCTTCACCAACTAATGATGGCCGCTGAGATCACGAGCATTTGTAGGTCTGCTCAGCCAAGTCCCTGAGGCGAACGCGCGGCGATGCCGTTGTTTGCTTCGCCGTTCAAAAAGAGCTACCTTTGGTGAACGGCTGGCATATATATATATTATTATATACTTATAATTATAGATGATATATAGTACAGTTACATAGATGATAGTTGATATGTTCTCAAATGTTCAATCCAGATGAGGGGTGACCAAATTCACCATCCCAATCGATGGAGCTCGCAGGGCTCGCCTTGTGGGCTCAAGGATCATGCACAAGGGTGGGCGCTTACCTTGGGCCATCGCGCATCATGTGGCCCACTGATATGTGGTGATACCCTCTGGTAAACTAACATAGCCATGGAAAATCACAATTTTTAATAGGTAAACCATCTATAAATGGGCCATTTTCAATAGCTATGTTAAATAACCAGAGGGTATGTGGTGATCAGCTATCAAACCATGGATGGCTGAGGCATCTGAAGCGGGCAATCCTATGGCAATTGGCTGGGACATCTAACCCTACCCCACTGACCTCGCAGCACGTCAACGGAGCGCCATCCTCCTATAACTCGATCGAAACTTGGGTAGAAGGCCCAAGTTCTATGACAGTTCCAATCACTGGCAAAACATCCCAAACATGTTAGTTCCAAGTTTCCGACGGGAAACTATGACCTGGTAATTCTTGTTTCTGAGTTCCACAGCTGCAAAAAGAAACAGAGGCATCCTCCGGCAATCAAGCATGGTTTGCACCATTGAGTAAATTTAGTTCGATGATTTTCCCAGCTACAAACTTGCATGGTGAGTTCTGCTTGATTGTTGGTTAGTTTTCTCATGCTATCTCAAGATGTTCATAATAGTTTCCCATGTATATAGTTCGATGATTGCCATGTTTTCTATTGATTTATAGATGATTATCCCAACATTTCCAAACATGATTTCTATTGAAATAGCCACGTTTTATGACACCAGAGGGTAAGATCTGGCCCTTGACCAAGGTGCCCTTGGCTTGCGACGTCCCCTGCGGTGTGTGGGTCGGATCGATCTCACCTGCGATCCGAGCGGTACACCGTCTGAAAGTGGCGATTTCAGCATCGAAGATGGAGATTTAATGGTTAAACTATAGTGGGCCATTAATGGTTTATAATGGTTAATAGTGATTAATTGTGATTAATGGTGATTTACCCTCTGGTAAATTAATGATGGTTAATGATGGTTCATGGTGGTTAATGATACTTAATTAATGATGGTTAATGATGGTTAATGGATATTATTACCCTCTGGTAAATTAACATACAGTAGACCCTGATTTTATCACCCATTTTTAGAGGAAACTACTGTAATCTTCCAACCCCGATGAATACCAGGGTCTATGTTGATTTACTGGAGGGTAAACTATAGTGGAACCATCTAGATATCTGGGTAAGATACAATATTTCAATATATTTCAATATATTTCAATATATTTCACTACCCTGAATAGTTGGGCCATTTGGGAATGATTTCCCGCAATCTAACCATGATTCCAGGGCTCGGTCGCAGTGTCGTTGTAATTTACCCAGAGATATGGAAATACTATAGTGACCTTTTTGCTGGATTCTGATCGATCAACTTGGAAATATGACAGTCGAACCTTCATATGTACAGCCAAGAGGATGAATGCGTTTGGATTGTTTCCATCCCTGAACGGACATCCTGTTACATCGTCATAGCCATGCGTCCCTCAGGGATGGATTTTTCTACTTCCCAAATCATGGCAGAAGTTACCCAAGTTCGGCTGACCATGGCAGAACATGAACCTCGGAATAAACCTCCAGCAATCTGAATGCTGGAAAATTGGATGATATTGGAAGCCATCTACCCTGGGAAACAAAAAACGGGGATGTCAAGGCTGAACGTGGCTTCATTGGGCCTACGGGAAGATAGCCCTCCACAGGGTATTCCATCGGACCATCGAACTTGGCGGCGGCCATAAAGCCCTGGAGGCCGAGGCCGAGGCCGGTGGTGGGCTGTGAAAAATGCACGGGACATGGTGCTAAACACATAGTAAAACACGTCTTTTTTGGAAAAAAATATCTTCAAAATAAGAAAATGGGTATCATTTCCATTGCACAAAATGTATTGTCTATATCATGTTGAAACCAGACTCGTATCATGTTCATTCACCCATGTGCATGTCTGCAGCCAGCAAGATCTCCACGCTCACATGGCATTTTGTACATGTGACGAGGACTGTTTTTTTGCCATCGGGTTTTAACCACAAAACGCCACATGGACATGGGGATATCAAGAATGCGCAAGCATAGTGACCGTTAGTTCTATAGTCTCAGAAAGTGGTAAGATTGTTTCTTCAAATTGAGATATAGGTGGACATGAAACCAATTGAGGAACTTGTTCATGACTGGTACGACTCATTCATAGTGAAAGAACCTAGGTTTTGGCACATCAATGTGCTCACGCCCCCCCGTGATCTACCTAAAACACTCTTTTGCACCCCTCATAGATCATGATTACTCCAGAGAGCAGCCCTTCTGCAAAAATATGGGATAAACGTCAACAATGGAAGGGGTGTACCACCAACTATAAGAGGGATCGTTTAACCAACTTTATATGATAAATGAACCACCAAAAAGAATGCATAAACGCCACGATGCACCAACATAGTGGATACATAAATACACAGCTGAGCAGCGTCAAAAACCGGGTTGCAAACTGCTTCTACCGTTTTATTCATCGCTATTCCACTCATGGACTGTAACGATCCCTTTCCAATAGATTTGTAGAACCCAATATTAACAGCCCGTTGGATGCTCAACCTCTCTTGGGCTCAAAAAGGTCTGCCCTAAGGCCAAAAGGACTGAACAAGCTCAATATTAACAGCTGCCAAACAGCCGCTGTGACATCCCAAATCGAGAAAAATGTGCTTCATCTTCCAGTGGCCAAAACATAAATGGTCGCTGAGGGTGCTCAAACATGGCGGATTCGTCATCGCACTGATGGGTCTGTCTAATTCTGGGTAGGTGCCACAGCCATCAGACCACCGCGCCAACAAGGCACCTTGCCGCAAATATGCGGTTTCAGGCCAATGCCCTGCATATCGGGAGATAACCTCATCGCGACGGGCGACGGGGGAAGGCAGACAGATAGTGATGTGTCATAGTGGATCCGATGCTTCTGGCGAGATGATCTATGTACTTATCTTTATATATATATACGTATATATATACGTATATATATATATATATACGTATATATATATATATATATACGTATATATATATATACGTATATATCTGTGTGTATATAATATATATATACGTATATATATACGTATATATATATATATACGTATATATCTGTGTGTATATTATATATACGTATATATCTGTGTGTGTGTGCGTGTCACTATAATATACACACTAGTGCATGTATCATATGTGACTGGAAAAGGAAACGAACCTGTTTATCTTTGCCTTCTTTTAAGCAACAGGCAGTTCCAGATCGCTTCTCCCAGCCATTGCGACTAACAGGGCCCACATTTCTCACCAAGTTGATCCAAGGTCATCTGACCCAGTCACAGCCCAGGCACTTGTATGCAACACCAAGGTCTCTCCCGTTTTTGCTGAAGGAAATGGTTTGCTTCTCCCGGTCCAACATTGAGCCTGGTACCAAGATCCCCATGTTTGGCGCTGGCAAGGGTCTGTAAAACATAGATTTAAACATCATCTGATCCTCCAAGAACTGTTTGCTTTCCAACAAAAAAAGAACTCTGGCTTTTGAAAAACACCATCCCTCAGAGTTCCGCCCATCGTCAGAGTCTGAGTGCCGCGCCAATGATGTCTCCTTCCTCGAAGGCTTCGCCATAGTCCTTTGCGGCTCGTGGCTCTAGGGGCCGAGATCATTCCACCTTCACGCCTGAAATCAGCCAAGCCTTAGATGGATGGGTTACAATATAGCTTTTATTAGATTGATGGGTTTGCAGATATGTGCCTAATATACATGTATAGCTACGTATAATTGGTATCAATTCAATGGGTTTAATAACTTCCGACATATTTATATTATATATATATATACTGATACTAATCAAATTGTCACCGTTGCGAGTTTGCTACAACAAAGTGCAACAAAGGGATTGCCATCTATGGTCTGACAAAGGTTGCGAAACACTTTTACTTGGCGAGCCTTAAAATTCTGGCCCCACATGCCAAGACACATTTGAGGTTTTCTTACCGTAAACCAATGGTTTTCCCTGCATAAACAAGCCAATTTTTGGATGACTTTGGGGCCCCCATTTGAAGAAAGACTTTTGTCTTGACTGGAAAAGGGCAAACGGCAGAAGAAATGCGAAGGAAACATGAAAACTACTATTAGTGAGTATGCAAGACTATTGCGATCCTGTGCCACAACGTGAATTTTCCACCCAAGTACTTCCAAATGGATAATTCTCAACATCTGTCAAAGTTGTGTCTCAAACGCAGCGGTGCCCTCACCTTTCGTTAAATCTGGACGCCCCTTCGAGGATGCCGTTTGCATCCCTTCACCTAGCTGCCCGGGTCCAACGGTCCCACCTCGAACTTGCGATTCCAGCTCTTCTTTCCAGTTGATCCATAACCGTAGCCTGAGCCCCCGCTGCGCCGCACCAACTGGGGATCACAATAGGGGTCTCTTTCCTCGGGGGCATCTGGATGTCAGCATCATGAACCATCCTTTATTGAGACAAATTGTTTTGAACCGCCAACTTGCCCAAACAAAAAAAACGTGCCCATTTCACTCCAAGCCACTCTTGTCATCTATGCCCAGCTCCAGTTTCGCAAAGCCGGCACTCCAACCTGCACTGGAGCCCCCATCCAATCAACGGTCTGTTCAAAGGGATCGATGTTCCCAATATGAAACCCCAAAAGGTCTCATAAGTCCAGACAAGCCCTGGTTCCGTTGGAGTATGAATACTCTGGAAGATCTGCATGACTCGGAAGTCCAGAACCAAAACGACAAGGGGACCGCTGGATGTCGTTCAAATCCCAGTGATTCCCCAGTCCACCTGTTGGTTGATGCACTCCCCCATTTCTTCCATAGTTTTTGTGAAAACCTTGTTTCATATATACCCTTATTTAACGTAGCTATGGACATCACCTGTTTCAATAGGTAATTCATCTTTTTTTATGATATTAATGTTCATTGGGAATTATATATCAGGAACTAGTACGGATTGAATATCCATAGTTATAAAATGTTATTTAGCAGTCACTATCATATCACCCTAACATATTTTCACCACTAGTAGGGTAAATCCGCTCAATGAATTGTTTGACCAAGAATGATGCGTATGTTTATAATGATTATTGACGGTAATCACAATTGTTATCAAATGTTATCCATGATGCATATGTTTGTCATCACAAGTTCCATTTCATTTTTTCACATCCCCCAAGGCTCCAAGATTTCCTCCCAGCCCGTCCTACTCGCACCATGCCCTCTACGACCTGCCGCTTCGCTTGGTCATGACGGCTCATGGGCGAGTTTCATCAACAAAATGCCTAGAGTACCAACCAAAAATAGGGATCTGTCAGAATTCATGAGCTAATATGAAATTCATATATATATATATACAGCTACTAACCAACAATAGGAGATTGGGGTGTTGTGTCTGAAAATGGTGGATCCACTATCAAGTTATTAGGGCCCGGGTCCAACAAGTTTCGCCCATGTTGGACCCATATGTTTGTGCCTACGTTGCAGCTATTCCACTCTGGAAATGATACTCAGAAAACATCTCCAAAATTATATATGTATGAATGTGTATATATATATTATATATATACACCATTATATAACATGTTATAACTTGTATATATATATATTTATATTTATATTATATACCATATATTATTCTATGATATACCTTCTTTTTGTACAATACATTCCACTTTATAAATATGTGATCTAATTAACGAGCTGCAATTCATTGGATGCCTTGCTGGATGTATCTTTAACATTCAGTGGGTGGTGGTCCAAGGCTCCACCGCTCCTCGACTTCAAACATGTACTTTCCCTTCATCACATCAATCGTAGCCCTGATCCTGTCGCGCGGGTAGAGGGTCACGAGTCTGGTGCCGGTCTGAGAATTGCATAGATGTTCTCCATTTCCCCTGGAAGTTCTCAGGAAGTTCCTACAATATTGCGGGAAGGTCCCAAACAATTGCTCCCGGTTTGCCTCATCAAACCCTACCCAGTTCCTTGAAAATACCTCTGGGGTTCTGTCGAATTGTCACCTCCAAAGAAATGTCCGAGGAGTTTTTCCGAAAATGTCCTCAAAGAATTCCCCGGACGATACCCGAAGGAGTTCCGAGAATTGGGCTACAGGAGTTCCTCCCCGTCCCCAACAATTCCCCAAGAAATGTCCCTCAAAATCCCGAAATCCATCCAAATCCTAAAGCTCTGAAACAGTTTGGCAAAATCCCTAAATCCATGAGCTTCCGTCGGTCTCAAGGGGAAGTTTCCTTTGAAAATACCTCAAGGAAGTTCACTTTCAAGTGTCAAGTGTAGTTGGAAGTATCCTAAGTCTTTTGAGTCTTTTGTCGAATCGTGACAACTGTGACAACTGTGACAACTGTGACAACTGTGTCAACGTGCAAAGGCCGGGAAAGCACGGTGAATTTTCAGAAAATGGACAAACTGCAGGACAAGATAAAAAGAAACGTTGACAAACTTGCGAAGCCCAGCCAAACTCTCTTGGGTGTTTGTGTAAAGTTGCTAATGCACCATACAGATCCATACAGACCATACATTGCATACAATAACTCAATGCCGAAGGTGTTGCATTCACAGAATGGAGTGCTATTGAAAGGCGTTCTTCCAATCGTAGCATGAACATGAGGAATGATGCAGTACCATGTTATGTAAGGCTCATTTGTGCCAACTGCTACATATTCAAGTTTTTTGGTGGGATTCGGTAAAGATGGTAAAGAGTGTTGCGTAAACGACGCGCAAACAACGCCGAGAATATGGATTCTGTACAGCTGTGCTAGGGTGGCTAAGCAATCTCATCACCTTCCCCCAAATGACCATTGTCACTGGGAGTGCTTTTCCCCCGCCAAACAGAGTACCCTGTCCCGTTCCATCGCTTATCATCTTCGCTCTTGCATTCCATGCCATCCTCCGTGACAAGCACAAACATGTCCTGGAAGGGAAAAGGCCACAGCAGGCGAAATTGCTGTTGTCTAGGCTTACCTTTCACACTGCATGGAAAAATGCTGGAGGCTGCATCCAGCCTTGGAGACGCACCCAGTTTCAATGGATGGGTTGGAAAGTTGCCATCTGACACCCTGTTTTACAATCCCAAAAGGCAATGCTTTCCTGGAAATTCTCCCACCAATTCTGGGACTCGTCACTTCATCAAGTTGATCCAGCTTGCCCAGTCTCCTTGTCGTTCAGATTCAGCTCGCATTTCAAGTTTGAGGCATTCGCTTTCCTGCGACCAAGCCATGAACATGCCCCATGATGACCTTCCAACATGTTTTTCACCATGGGGAAGCATACCTCCGGTAGCTTTAGGAGCCCAGCTGACTTCTAGAGGAATCCAGACCCTCAGGCCAGTACGCCCCGGTCGGAAAACTCAGGCCATTACGCCATGTTACGTGCTGTCTCTGGTGACCAACTTTGAGTTTCACATTGCCCCGATCCAAATGTACCAAGTCACATTGCCATTCTGTTGCATCTTAATAAGTACAGGAAGTAGCTATGTATGTTCTGTCTATGAATGTATACAGATACACCGTTAATATCCTCCAGGACCCATAGATATCCAACATCGATAGATACAGATCATGTTCTTAGGAAAACCGGACAACCCGGTAGGATTTCCATAGCGAACTGTTCCTTTACTGAAGGGTATATAAGCTATATCTCGAAATTGGGTACAGTACCAAAAAGCCTATTTTCTACAAACAGGTTCCCCCATAAAAATGACCATATGTTCGGGTATCCCCCATTCTGCGACAAAACCCAAACATCATATTAAGTTCGTTATGTATCCCATTATATTCAAACATATATATGTAATGTATGTAATGTATGTAATGTATGTAATGTATGTAATGTATGTAATGTATGTAATGTATGTAATGTATGTAATGTATGTATGTAATGTATGTATATGTAATGTATGTAATGTATGTAATGTATGTAATGTATGTATGTATGTATGTATGTAATGTATGTAATGTATGTAATGTATGTAATGTATGTAATGTATGCAATGTATGTAATGTATGTAATGTATGTAATGTATGTAATGTATGTAATGTAGGTAATGTAATGCAATGCAATGCAATGCAATGTAATGCAATGCAATGTAATGTAATGTAATGTCTTGTAATGTAATTTAATGTAATGTAATGTAATGTATGCATGGTATGTATGTTATGTATGTTATGTATGTTATGCATGTTATGCATGTTATGCATGTTATGCATGTTATGTATGCTATGTATGTTATGTATGTTATGTATGTTATGTATGTTATGTAATGTAATGTGATGTAATGTATGTAATGTATGTGATGTATGTAATGTATGTAATGTATGTAATGTAATGTAATGTAATGCAATGCAATGCAATGTAATGTAATGCAATGTAATGTGATGCAATGCAATGCAATGTAATGTAATGTAATGCAAAGTAATGCAATGTAATGTGATGTAATGTAATGTAACGTAACGTAACATAATGTAATGTAATGTAGTGTAATGTAATGTAATGTAATGTATGCAATGTATGTAATGTATGTAATGTAATGTAATGTAATGCAATGCAATAAAATGCAATGCAATGCAATGCAATGCAATGTAATGCAATGCAATGTAATGCAATGTAATGTAATGTAATGCAACGCAATGCAATGCAATGTAATGTATGTATGTATGTATGTATGTGGGTATGTATGTATGTATATTATATATATATATATATATCCCTAATAGTTGGTTGTATCCCCCTATGTTTGATGGTTAGTTAAACCATGTTAAACCCTTCAAAAGTCCCAGTTTTGATGGTTACAACATGTTACAACTTACAACCATCAAAAACCCAAGCCTTTGATCCCATCAGGCACTCGAAAAATGGGCCAGGGCCTTGTGCTGCATTTGCCGCGCAGGGTTTCATGCACAATCTGCAAGCATGGCAGACCTGCAGCCAGAGGTGCCACAAAAAAAGTGGGTAAAGGTGGAGGATTTACTCCCAAAACGGCAATGCTCATGAGGAAATTGAGGATACACCACCGAATTTGGAGGCTCCCTCCTAAATTGTTAGAGGAATCCGAATGGTCACGACACAACATGGCTGCCGGCTGTTTTGAACACTCAGTCAGGCCAGGTAGTTACGGGATGTTACGGGTATTTCTGAGTCTGAAGACCCAGCGGTGCATCAATCTCAATGCCAAAGGGTCACTGTAGATTTGGAGTCCCTAATACTTGAGAACCGCTGAACACACAGATTGGCGATAGTCGCAGAATGCCCTTCAAAACATTTAAGAAGCAGGCGAGTTCAAAAACACGGTCGACTTCAGAAGTTGAAAAATGTTGGAAGTATGTCAAGTCTGTGACTCCGATACTAAAACCATTCAGGCTATTCAGGTCTATTCTAGGGCTCCTTAGAATCCACAAAATGGTATCCTTCCACTCTGAGGGACACTGACTCCTTTCAATTTCCATTAGCCCTGGTTGTGATTCCAACCCTCTGAAACATGCCAAGGCAATTTGTGATCATCTTGAGGAACAAATCGGAGCTGGGTATACTCAAGTTTGGATTCCCTTCAGTCGATTGCGGTCGATCAAAACCTCAAGGTGTGTCTTTATGTCTTTGGGACTTTGTTGCCACTATGCCACTATGCCATTGACCATGGCACATGCGACAGTTTGCCATGAAAACTACCCAATTTTTTAAAAAAAGCTGACGAAAAAAAGCTGGGCCACCGCACCGAAGGCGCCCGTCTTGCCACTCCCCGTCTCCGCAGCCACCAACACGTCGCCTGGCTGCCGGTCCAAAACCCAGAAGTGGAGGAGTTCAACATGTTCAACCAACGAAAATCAGGAAAATCACCATCAAAGATGTGGAACTCACCTACAATGACCTACAAAGATGAGGCTTTGCCCAGAAAAAAGTGGGTCTGCTGTAAACGACAAAATTTGGAAGGTTTGGGGACCAAAACTAGTAGATTTCACAGACAGGTTGGGGATTGGCCCAACCAAAATAATGGCTTAACCAATCTTGAAAAAATAGAACTTCAGCAATAGATCCAATAGGAGTTGACCACAAGAAATGGGAGGTATGTAACCAACAGAAACGCACATGCAGTACCGGAAAACTCTTCAAAGTTGTGATTCATCTCTGCAAATTCCGCTCTTCCAAGACTTTCGCTTGGACTTTCGCTTGGACTTTCGCTTGACCCAAAAAAATCCATTCTCAAAAAAAAACGTTCTCCGATTTATGACAATAGATTAAACTATGGAACATGGCCCATTTATAGATGGTTTACCTATTAAAAATGGTGATTTTCCATGGCTATGTTAAATAATCAGATGGTAATTTCACTGTAAAACGACCCAGCATGGTGCTGTGTACGACATTTCACAACGCCCCCAAGCGTGTCGACACAGGCGACCTCCACCTAGGATCAGCGGGACTGCCTGGTGCCACATCGGATTGTCATGGTAGCTCTCATGAAACATCATGAGACCAAAGAGGAACCCTGATCGTTTGCCGGAGATTTAGAGATTCTGCAAACCCTCCAATCGTGAAAATTTGCCCATCAACTCTGAGTGCATGCATGTGTGTGTGTGTCGTTTGGGAAAAAAGTCACGAGCCTATGCAAGATGTGGCTTGTGTCCAATCGTAGAGTATCCATAAATATGTAATATATATATATACTGTATATATATATATACATACTATTATTATATTCCATATGCTGGTTCCATCTGGTTCCTCTGTCACATTCTTCATGACTTTTCCGAAATCCGGTCTCCTCCGGTGGGTCTGCCTGGCCTCCTGCTGTACAGGAGTTGGCAGCAGCCAATCATCCTCTTCCACTGCTTGGATGATCTCAGGACAAATCCCCAACTCTTCGAAGGCACTCATCGTGACCGAAAAAACCTGCGATCGTCCACCATGGGGCGGGGATAGCGAAGAGACTGGGATCCATCATGAAGCCACTGTCATGGGCATTAAATGGGTCTGAAAATGAGCTACGCCTAACGTCCAATGCTTCGTCATCAGTTTCCAATTTGTAAAGTAATCTATTTCGTGGGTTTGCCGTAGTATACCCATGGTCAGAAAAGCCAAATTGCAGAAAGAATCGATTACTTGGAGGATTCTCCATGGGATTTTCCCACTTAGTACAGCAAGCCCGCTTAGCCCTGGGCCCAATGATTCCATCCCTGGGCCTCGAGAAAAATTCCCCGCCAGACATTGATTGGCTTACTTCGATCTGTCCGAGCCAAAACGAATCTAGCAATCAACAAATTGCAACAGTTGATAGACCACCATGATAGTCCACCATTCTAGACCAATCAACAGTTGATAGACTTTCAAGTCCACCATGATGTCGCCATAGTCTGCAATGCCTTTTGGATGATATGCGTTTTGTTGAAAAGAATAGTTGTTCACGATGAAAAGTCTACAATCCAAGTGCAGCAAATAAATATTAGCGTCAAATGTTGATTCTTCAACTGAACTTGCAAGTTCTACAAGGATAAGCATGTTTGCGCCTGCATGTTTTCTCCTTCGCAAAGCAGTCAGCACAATTGTAAAGCATCATGCCATTCCAGCAGTCTTTGCAGACTTGCAGATCCCCTGTGCCCATCTTCTGGTGCCTTTGAATATCTTGCAAATATAATATAATTTAATTTAATTTAAAATAATATGATATGATATAATGTAATGTAATGTAATACAATACAATACAATATATATATATATACAGAGCGGGGAAAGTGTAACATCCCTTCGCAAGCTGAGTGTCCAAAACCTGGACAACTGTACGTAAGCTTTGATGGGCCTTCAATCCCTCAGGATAGTTTAGTTTAGATGTGTGTTCCGGTGCACAGAAGAACAGCTGGAACAACAAGACAATAACAAGACATACCGGAGGCGCTTTTCTCATCGCATAACATCTGAAGTCAGAACGCATTTTTAATGATCTTCTTGTGATGTCCGTGCTGAGTACATGACATGGAACACTCTGTGACAACTGTTTTCAGATAAAACCCTGGGACTGGCAATGAACAACCAGGTCAGAAAGACTATATAATGATTTTAATGGTAGCTTAAAACTCTGGACACTTGCAAACACACTTCACTACCCAAAATGAACAGAGACTTGAGATGTAGAGATTGCGGCTGGTTGAAGGTCTGTTGCAAGTCATAAGAAAACACAACTGGTTGGCAGATGTTGGAAGGAACTTGATTGAACCGCATTGAACCAGAAATTCCCGACAAAGAACCTCTACACTACACAGGTCTTGATGAATCATCCACTAGCATCTTGCGGCACAACGTGCACCTGGCCACAGAGAAGGGTCAACCAAAGTTGACGGTGGATTTGCAAAGTACGGAGTACATTAAATCCTGAAATACCCTCTGGTAGTTAAACATGGCTTGCTGGAAGATCCATGGACATCCATGAAAATCCCACAACTAGTTCGATGATTTCCATATTGTTTGCTTCGAGGGTAAAGACTCTCTCTTCTTTTGAAGAAGTCCGGGCAGGATATGCTACTGGTCGCGATATAACGGCAGCCAATCATGTCAGATCGGCAAGTCCATGGAGGAAAAGTGTTTGCTTGATAGCAAATAACTGGATATAATTTAATATAATATCATTGATGTTTCCGCCTTTTCCCCTATGCTTTGCCAGGCTCCTTGAAGTTCAGGCTGATCAAGAGTGATCAGGTGTTCCCGCTGGCTTTGAAAGAAAGTTGAATATTGCAATTCCCGGATGTTTCCACGTTCCCTGTTCTGATTATAAAGAAGTGACTTCAATGCATGCTTTGACTGGTTCACCACTCTCAATGCATCACCAGCAGAAGCATGGCAGTCGTTAACAACATTGACCCCGCTTGCGACGCAGAGAATTCAGACGCGCCCGATGTCTCATTTTCATCGTCGCGGGTCGTGGTTGGCAGCTGCTCAGCGGCCGAAGAAGTGGTGAGGCCTGGTCTGATAAACCCGCCAGGTGTTCAAGAAGTTCGATGAAAATTTGAAAACTGGGGGTGAAAACATTGGGAAGATATGTGAATAGCTGCAAGTAGATGTAGTTACCGAGTATCAGAAATGTATATTAAAACTAAATAAGCTGCAACAGCGTGCACAATCTAGAGAACGAATTTTTGCACAATCTAGCACGATTTTTTGCACGAAGGAGAGCAGCAAAAAGCACAATCTAGAGCACGATTTTTTGCACGAAGGAGAGCAGCAAAAAGCACAATCTAGAGCACGATTTTTTTCAGGAAGGAGAGCACCAAAAAGCACAATCTAGAGCACGATTTTTTACACGAGGGAAACACTCAAAACAAAGCTTGCCGAAAATATAAAGAAATCCTTTTATTGACTGTTACAGCCATTAGGACGGAAACAAATAATATATTCAATATCTATTATTGTCAAATATTATGAATATCTAATATCCCAATGGTTCGACTGGTTGGTTCTTTTTCTAAATCGCCCTCAGGACCCCTCTGAGCCCGGGACTCTGTCCGCTCCCTGTGGTGCTCTCTGTGGTATCTGGGATAAAGCTGCGCAGGACCTGGGGCAGCTGGCCATCCCAGCACGGTTCTGCCACTCCGATGTCTCCAATACCTTCCTGGTTTTCTCAATTTGTCTCGCCCATGTTTTCCTATTCCCACACCTCCCAGAGCCGCAAAAATCCCTTCACAATACATCCTCGCACTGTCTTTCCACAAGCGGGCATAACCCTTTGCCGTCCAATCATTGTCCCGGCCTCTCCACCTTTTAGTCCCTGGTAGCACCTTGTCCCTACAAGCCAATAACCTCCAACAGCCCGCATGATCTTCAAGCTTAGCAAGCCGACCCCCAAGACCTATTTGGGCACCCCACCTACCTCAAGGATTTCCTGTGTCAAGCTCCAATCAATCTTCCAAATTTCACTTCGTTCGCAGGCACTTCAGCCCTGGGAGCTGGTTTTTGTTATCGCACCGGGTGATGATACACCAAGTGTAAGTTTCCTGGATGAAGCCATAACCTCATTTTTCTTCAACTGCAACCGCAAAGTGTTGGACCCTTCAGCCGGAATGGGGGTTCAAAGACGCATCTTGGTTTGATTTTGGTCCATGATTCCTGGGGCTCCTGTCGGTCCTGTGTTCATGGGAAAATCAATGCTGTGCAGCTTCGTATGCCACTAAGACTGGTACATCTTCATTCTGCTTGGTCCACTGGCAAGCTGCCTCGTATGCACTTGTGCCCGATGCCACGTCAAGCATGATCCCGCGCATTGTGTCCATGGACATTTGAAAGTTGTGGATGAAGCCATATACATCCGGTGCCAAATCTGGCAAGTCGTAGCTTACCAAATTCTCGAGCATGACGTTCGCAGGAGCAGTGCTATAGTTCCCGGCGGCCCAAGCTGCTGCATCATAAGCAGGGAAAGTGACGTACTTGGGCTCCAGGGTGGCGAATAACGTATCTGGCTCCCACCAATAGAACAAGCACTTCTTGCTCATTGGAATTTCTGTGAAGGCAGAAAAACTACTGGCAACACCGATGGCCAGGGGAATCTGCCACACGGTTGCCTTCTGCATGTACTGCTCCAAATTCCAACCATTTCCACCTGAAGCACATGCAATGGCACATGGAACCAATACAGGAATCGCATTCGACTCTTGTGCCCAATCAGTCTGTCAAAAGATACCCAATCAGGTCAGCTGTACTTGTTTACATTTAACCTGACTAAAACGGAAACAAGCCAAGTCGAAGTCGAAATGCATTTCCATGAACCAACCCATCCAAAGACCGATCCATAGAACGTTTCTTCAAATGGCCAAGTACACACGAAACCCAGGTGGAAATTTGGTTTCCCATGTCATGCGCAGATTCCCCACCTGTGATCCATGGCACGCAACGGAGACCGGAACTGGTTCTGCACTCACCCGGGGCGAGCCACCAGTAATTTGCATGGCACACGCCAGCATGCAAACCATCACCTCACAAACAGCAGGTAAAGGCGCCAAGGCCAAGGGGTCCGAGGGGTCTGAGGGGTTTGAAAGCGAGCACCCCAATGCTGTCACCAATTCGCTAGGGAGAGGGGCTCTAAAAAAAGTGTTCGCATTTTTTGATGCCGCTGAAAATCTCGATTGTAGGCTCCAACCGCCCTGCAATAATAGATTCATGATTCAGTAAAATTGGAAGATGAGTTCAAGAAAGGCCCAAACAAATTTCAAACATAGGCCTAACAAATATCCAAATGGCACAACACTACGGACGAAGCAAAGGGCCAATATAGGCCAAAAATATATTGTGCCCATGTCCGAAACTGTTTGAAGGAAATTCAGGCCCGTGCAAAAAACTTATATATAAAATAAAATAGTTGAAAGAGCTGCTGCCATTGTACCTTTGTCAAACCTATGCTGAGTGCACGGCGTTTATATTGTAATATTGTGCGTTGCTTGAGTTTGAAAGATCACAGGTTCTAGCGTTTATACTAGTTTATACCATCGTAAATAATCTCAACAAAAGCCCAACGTGGGAGCAACATAGGCCCAACAAAGCTTTAAATGACCCAATTTAGGCCCTCCCAAACGATCCAAACGTAGCAGTGGTTCAAAATGGATTCAACGTGCATACCGCAACTTGTAATCATAGTTTTCTCATTGTTTTAGTGCCACGAAAAGCGTTGTATTGGCTGTGTTTTTGTAATATTGGAATCTTGAGAACAAGAAACACCGTAAATACCAATGTTATTGGAGCCTCGGAAGCCAAAAACCACAGCATTTATGATGTGTGTTTTGCCCTTGGTAGCAAAAGCCCCTGTATTTACGGTGTTTTTTAGACAGCACCTACAGAAACACACGTATTTGCGCAATTTTTAGCATGTTGCCTGATGAAGACAAACACTCACACTACCGACATAACCCTTATTGCATCGCCGGTGTGCGAAGCTCTTCGATATAGGAGAAATGATGGTAAACCGATGGATTTGGGGGTACACTGTTTTCACACCAACCCATGTATCTCACAAAACTCTCTCTAGCAGAGACTTTACCTCTATCAAAGCTACCTTTACCAAACTTGCCTGTATCAAACTTATCTCTGTCAAACTTGAATCTACCAAACTTCTCTCTACAATTTTTTGGGGTGTCGAACTTTTCTGTATCAAGCTGACCTCTACAATACTACAAAACTTGTCTGAACCAACCCTTTGCCTATGAAACTTATCTCTAGCAAGCTTCACTCTACAAGACTTATATATCTTCAACAGACTTTCCTTTATGAAACCAACCAGAGATCTTTTCTTGGACGAATAACTTCATGTCGGTGAATTAAATTCTAGGCCTGGACTCGTTGCACCCGTCAGCGATTCCTTTCATCCTGAGAATCCACACTAGTGTTCTGATACACACCGGCTGTGTCACCGGTGATTGTAAGGTAGTTTCGCATGATGTTGTCGTCCGTCAATCGTGTGGAAGTGCATGGCTTTAGTTTTGAAGTGTCGAAAGCAGAGATTGCATCGAAATATGTCCATGGTTGACCATCCTCGTGAAGACCCTCCTCGCTGCGCAGGCCGTGGCAGCAGGGGGGCATGTTGGGGCCGCTCTCAGGGAATTCGCAGCCAATCAACAGTAGGCAAATTCTCAAGCGGATTGCACAGACTGCGTCCATGCAACCTGAAGACAACACATTCGGAAATAGGAAAAGGACGGAGTCCTTCAAGCTAGCAGCCAGCAACAGTGCAGCAGCCAGCAGCCAATCAAGATTCATCAAGGGGCAAAGCCAACAGAAACAACCTCCTCTAATAATTGCTACGAAGTCACACCTACTAAAAGGCAGCAACTTCCATAGATGGCAAGCACACCTTGGCAACCTTCAGGAACCCATGGAAGTGGTTGGTCAGTGTTTGTCCCCCCGCGCCTGCGTGTCCAACAGAGGTGCTAAGGTCTTTTGCTCCCAGACGGCTTTGCTGATGTACATGCTCTCAATGCTATAGAACAAGTTGCTTGCCCGGAAAGCAGCGAAGTTATGATTGATGTGCACCAACTGAGCAAACGGTTGCTGGCAGGGCCGATCTCTCAAGTGACACGCAACGGAAAATGATCTGGCAGTAGACAATACCATACATATGAATGCATATATGTCCAACAATCGAATATACAATACAATATAAGATAATTTTATATTATATGATATTATATGATATGATAGAATATAATATACTATAATACAATATGATATAATAAAAAGTAATATAATATAATATACATACATAATTAATGATATATATGAAATAAAATATATTTAATTTAATATAATATATATATAATATAAAAAAAACATACATATATATATAATAATAATATATATAATATATAAAAAAATATAATAAAAGATATATATATAATATATAATATATATTATATATAATATATAGCCTGACAATACCATACATATGAACGCATATATGTCCAACAATCGAATATACAATACAAAATAAGATAATTTTATATTATATGATATTATATGATATGATAGAATATAATATACTATAATATAATATGATATAATAAAAAGTAATATAATATAATATACATACAAAATTAATCATATATATGAAATAAAATATATTTAATTTAAAATAATATATATATATAATTATAAAAAAAACAAACATATATATATGTAATAATAATATATATAATATATTTAAAAAAAATAAATAAAAGATATATATATATATAATATATTATATATTAAATATAATATATAGCATATCTTTTTTAAAATATATATAAAACGTTTAATGATACATATAATGAATATATATATTTATAATGTATAATATGTTTACTAAAATTTTAAAATATATAACATATAAAAAAAAATGTATATCTATATATTATATAATTTAAATATATGAATATCTATATTTAAATATAGTATTTAAATTATATATAATATATATAATATCAAATATACATTGATAAAATATAATATATATATATGCGATATTAAATTTATCAAATAAAATATATATATATATAATACAAATAATATTATTTATAATATATCATATATATATACAATATAATATATATTATATATATAATATAATAAACAAATATATATATATATAAATGTATTATTTTAAAAAATGGATTTATAATAGATAATATATGTAATATATATATATAATATAAAGAAAATACAGTATATAAATAATATATATAGTATATAAAAAATATATAAATGAATAATATACAATATACCAAATAAAATATATATAATATATTATATGTAGTATATATATATTATATCTAATATATACGTATATATTTGAATATATATATATATATAATTTATATATATATGAATGATATATAAAATATAATATAATATACTATTATATAATATATTATAATATAATATAATATTATATTATATAATAAAATATCATAACACATATTTATATATATATTGTACTTCAGGAGGAACAAAGTTTATGCTTCTTGAAAGCTTTACAAAACATCCATCTCGGTCAACTGCGGATCACATTTTCAAGTCGGTTTTGTGTGGCAGGTGTGGGACGGTCAATTACAAGATTATCACCCTCTTCTAAATTTATAAGATTTTAAAGCTTTTGGAGGGTGGACATGCGACCGGGGTACCGCAAAGCTCCATGCTAGGATTGTCCGGAGAAAGGGTGTGCAGAAGAAGAAACCAAACATGTTCACTGTGGGAAGCTCAGCAAGCGCAACTTTTGTCCCACCAGTGTATATATAAAAATATATTGAATATATATAATATTTAATATATTATATATTAAATATATAATTCAATATATAAAACATATATGTAAACTATGATAAATATAATATTATTTATTTAATATATATTATTTAAAATATATATATATAGTATATATATATATTAATAATAAAAATAATAAATATTATTATATATATATTAAAGAATATAATATAGTAAATATAACATAATATATTGTAAAATATATGTGTTTATTATATAATATTACATACCTATGTATATATATATGTAAGAGAAAAAATGTAATATATATATATATTTATCATTTTTCAAAAATAAAAATATAATACAAAAACATATAAGATATTTAAAATATATAAAATAGAAGATTAGATGGTATAATAATATATATTATTTTCAAAATATATACATATATACTATATTATATTTAATTTAAATTTTATCATATATACTAAATAATATATCATATTTTAAATATACATTGTTATTTGTTTTTTATATATCGTATATTAAATATATTCTACATATATATATATATTATATTACATACAATATTGCATGAATATATAATATATTATTTTTGATAAAAATCCAAAATAAGATTAGATGATTTAATATAATATAGTATTTTCAATAAATATATATTTACTACATAATATATCATATAAAATTTATCATATATACTGTACAATATATCAAATAAATATTTTATATATTTTGTAAAAATAAAATATATATATTCATGATATGTAATATGTAATATACATATAATATGTTTTTTTGATATTTACTATCAAAACTATAATATAATCTATAATATATAATGATTTTAAAAAATATATATATAATATATGATTTCTATTTTATTTCTTATAATACAGATTTAATATATATAATAGATATTTTAGAATATGTAATACAAATTTCAAAAATATTTTTCAAACATATTTATAATATATAATATATACTATATTATATATACTGTTGAATATATAATATTTATATCTAACACTTAATACATGATACATAATACAAAATAAAATAATATAATATAAATATCATTGCCAATAAAAATTGATTTAATTTACAATAACAGAATATAAAGTGAATAAATTAAAATACAAATATATAATACAATACAGTAGAATATCATCTAATGTAATGTTATATGACATAATACAGAACAATATATTCTAATGTATTGTGAAATAATAAACATAATGCAGTATAATATCGTATATAATATGAGTATATTATGTAAACAGAAACGCAAGCCGTTTTCTTACATTGATCCATGTCTATATGCCATTTGCCTTTTCCTTCTTCGATCATCAGTTTCTGGATCGCCAAATTCTGACTGCTATTTGTTCCATAATTTCATCCCGAATGCAATCTTTCAACAAAACTCACATGTTTGCGGCCTCAACGTTTGCAACCTTCAGCAAGAGCTCATTAGAACACCAAGCATACAATATTGAGGGCCTCTTTCGCAGGGATTTCCTAACTTTTATTCCAACCTACCTTTTGCATGTTTTACATTTTTTCCCATGGATTGGCCGTGGCAAATCTTTTTCGTCCACAAAGATCAAACATACAGTTCTAAACTCGAAGAATGACATGATCCCGGGGCGGTCAGCTCATGACTGCAATCCTACGGTTACCCAGGTGCCGTTGGCCCACACGGAGTCGAGACACTTCGTTGAATGTCGACGGGTACCCGAGGTGCCATGACTCCATCAAGACATGACTTCTGGTGTCGCCATCCGAACAGCCGGTTTTGTCACTTGTCTCCGTGGGATTGGTGCAGCCGAAAAGTGCTCGGAACGACTCTGGTGAGCTAGGATACCCTAAGGCAAATGTGGCTCATACCAAGGAACAGGGTGGCTCCGGGTAGGGGCTCAAGAAAAGAGTTCGCTTCAAGCATGACTTTTTGGGGTTTCATGGTTTCTCCAAGTCGATGAGTTCAAAACTCTTCTGACAGATGCAAGTTCAATGTACAGTGTACATAGACAGTAAAATTCAGTAAATGTTCCAGCTCGTCATACTTCCAGTCAAGATTCCTGTTGCTTGGGCGTTGTAGCCCAAGATTTCTTGAATCGTGATTCGTGCAATTTCGGCGAACACTTTTGAAGCATCCCATTCTCCATACGCAAGTCCAACAGGATACGATTCACCTTTGGCATTCACCAAGTCTTTGCCTGGCTGTTCCCCAAGGCAAAGCAGGAACTTTGTGGAGCCCCTGGGTGGGTCACTTTCGGGGCTGGGCCCAGCTGCAGTCTGATAAAATCCGTTGAACAAAGCGTTTCCCCAAACAGTGTGTCCACACTAAGGGGTTCTCACGGTAGGTATGGAAGGCTGGGTTTGATTGAGGGTAGTTTCGTCCCGCCGTCTCGCACAAAAGTTCGGAGATTTTGATGCTCGTTTTGAGGGCGCAAACTTCCACGATGCTTACCTCATTCGAAGGTCTACTCGTTTTTTGTGGCGGGCGCAAGCGGGGCGCAGGACATTGGGCGCAATATTTCCCCCAGGCCAGTCGCAATACTTCAAAGAGACCTGGACAAAAACGTGTTCAAAACCAATGTCAAATATGTTTTCAAAACCGAATATGTTTTTAGTTCCTCGCATCTTCGTGTGGGGTTCTTGTTTTTGATTCTGTAACCCGCCTCCTCCACCTCCTTATACTCCTCCGCCGCCTCCGCCTCTACTTTGTCACAGACCATGTTTCTCACATCATCTCACTCACACAACTTTGTCACACACGATCTTTCTCACGCCATCTGACTCACACAACTTTGTCATACACCATCTTTGCCACACACCATCTTTCACACACCATCTCACTCACACAGCTTTGTCACACACCATCTTTCACACCATCTCACTCACACAACTTTGTCACATACAATCTTTCACACACCATCTCACTCACACAGCTTTGTCACACACCATCTTTCACACCATCTCACTCACACAACTTTGTCACATACAATCTTTCACACACCATCTCACTCACACAACTTTGTCACACACCATCTTTCACACACCATCTCCGTGACACAACTTTCACACCATCTTTCTCACACCATCTCACTCACACAACTTTGTCACAGCAACTTCGTCACCATCTTTCACTGGGCGGCAAGCGTAGCACTTGGCGACATCCACCTTCATTTTGCGAGGCAGGCGTGGCACTTGCTGACATCCACCTTCGTTTCGCGTGGCACGCGTCGCAGGCGTGGCACTTGGGGCACTGGGCTGGCTCTGGTGGCGCGCTTGGTTGCCCAGGGCGCCGCGCCACTTTGCGTGGCAGGCGTGGCACTTGGCGACATCCACCTTCGTTTTGTGTGGCAGGCGTGACGTGGCACGTGGTCACATCCACCTTCGTTTTGTGTGGCAGGCGTGGCACTTGGGGCACTGGGCTGTCTCTGGTGGCGCGTGGGCACGCTTTGGTCGCCCGGGGTGCCGCACCACTTTGCCTGGCAGGCGTGGAACACCCTTGGTTTTGCGCGGCAGGCGCGGCACTTGGGGCACTGGGCTGGCTCTGGCGGCGTGCTTGGGCGCGCTTTGGTCGCCCGAGGCGCCGCGCCACTTTGCCTGGCAGGCGTGGAACTTGGCCACATCCACCTTCGCTTTGCATGGCACGCGTGGCACTTGGTGACATCCTTCTTCGTTTCGCGTGGTACGCATTGCACTTGCCGCGCCACTATTGCGTGGGAGGCGCGACATCCACCATCGTGGCAGGCATGATACTTGGTGACATCCACCTTCGTTTTGCGTGGCACCCTCCTTTTGCCTGGCAGGCGTGGCACTTGGTGACATCCACCTTCGTTTTGCGTGGCAGGCGTTGCACTTGGGGCACTCGGCTGGCTCTGGTGGCCGCTTGGGCGCGCTTTGATCGCCCGGGGCGCCGCGCCACTTTGCGTGGCAGGCGTGGCACTTGGCGACATCCACCTTCGTTTTGCGTGGCAGGCAAAACACTTCATGCACCTTCGTTTTCGTGGCAGGCGTTGCACTTGGGGCACTGGGCTGCGCGCTTGGGCGCGCTCGGTTGCCCGGGGCACCGCGCCACTTTGCGTTGCAGGCGTGGCACTTGGTGACATCCATTTTGCGTGGCAGGCATGGCACGTGGTGACATCCACCTTCGTTTTGCGTGGCAGGCGTGGCACTTGTGGCACTTGGCTGGCAGTGTGGCACTTTGTCAAACACCATCTTTGACACACCATCTTTAACACACCATTTTGTCACACACCGTCTTTCACACACCATCTTTCACACACCATCTTTCACAAACCATCTTTCACACACAACTTTGTCACACATCATCTTTGACACACCACTTTGTCACACACCATCTTTCAGACACTATCTTTCACACGCCACTTTGTCACACACCATCTTTCGCACACCATCTTTCACACACAACTTTGTCACACACCATCTTTGACACACCACTTTGTCACACACAATCTTTCACACACCACTTTGACACACACAATCCTTCACACCATGTTTCACACACAACTGTGTCACACACCATCTTTGACACACCACTTTGTCACACACCATCTTTCACACACCATCTTTCACACACAACTTTGTCACACCACTTTGTCACACACCATCTTTCACACACAACTTTGTCACACACCATCTTTCACATCACTTTGTCACACACCAGCTCTCACACACCTTTTTTCACACACCATCTTTCACACACAACTTTGTCACACACCATCTTTGACACACCATCTTTCACACACCACTTTGTCACCCACCATCTTGAACACACCATCTTTCACACCACTTTGTCACAGACCATCTTTCACACACCACTTTGTCACACACCATCCTTCACACACGGTCATGGACCATCTGTCACACACCATCTTTGACACACCACTTTGTCACACACCATCTTTCACACACCATCTTTCACACACAACTTTGTCACACCACTTTGTCACACACCATCTTTCACCACACCATCTTTCACACACCACTTTGTCACACACCATCTTTGACACACCATCTTTCACACACCACTTTGTCACACACCATCTTCCACCATACCATACCATACCATCTTTCACACACCATCTTTCACCACACCATCTTTCACACACACCATCTTTCACACACCATCTTTCACACACCATCTTTCACACCACTTTGTCACACAACATCTTTCACACGCAACTTTGTCACACACCATCTTTCACACACCATCTTTCACACCCATCTTTCACACCGCTTTGTCACACCATCTTTCACCCACCATCTTTGACACACCATGGTTCACACCACTCTGTCACACACCATCTTTCACACACCACTTTGTCACACATCATCTTTCACACACCATCTTTCACACACCACTTTGTCACACACCATCTTTGACACGCCTTTTTTCAAACGCCATCTTTCACACACAACTTTGTCACACACCATCTTTGACGCACCATCCTTCACACACAACTTTGTCACACACCATCTATCACACACCATCTTTCACACCACTTTGCCACACACCATATTTTACACACCACTTTGTCACACACCATCTGTCACACACAACTTTGTCACACCACTTTGTCACACACCGTCTTTCGCACACAACTTTGTCACACACCATCTTTCACACCACTTTGTCACACACCATCTTTCACACACCATCTTTAACACACCATCTTTCACACCATCTTTCGCATACACAACTTTGTCACACACCATCTTTGACACATCATCTTTCACACACCACTTTGTCACACACCATCTTTGACACACCATCTTTCACACACCACTTTGTCATACACCATCTATCACATACCATCTTTCACACACAACTTTGTCACACACCGTCTTTGACACACCATCTTTGACACACCACTTTGTCACACACCATCTTTGACACGCCATCTTTCACACACAACTTTGTCATACACCATCTTTCACCACACCATCTCTCACACACAACTTTGTCACACGCCATCTTTCGCCACACCATCTTTCACACACCACTTTGGCACACACCATCTTTCACACACCGTCATGGACCATCTTTGACACACAACTTTGTCACACACCATCTTTCACCACACCATCTTTCACACACAACTTTGTCACACACCATCTTCACCACACCATCTTTCACACACAACTTTGTCACACACCATCTTTCGCCACACCATCTTTCACACACCACTTTGGCACACAACATCTTTCACACACCGCCATGGACCATCTTTCACACACAACTTTGTCACACACCATCTTTCACCATACCATACCATACCATCTTTCACACACCATCTTTCACCACACCATCTTTCACACACACCATCTTTCACACACCATCTTTCACACACCATTTTTTACACCACTTTGTCACACACCATCTTTCACACGCAACTTTGTCACACGCTCTCTTTCACACACAACTTTCACACACACACACACACCATCTTTCACACACAATTTTGTCACACACACACCACCTTTCACATACAACTTTGTCACACAAACCTTTTTTTGCTTCTCGATCCTCCACCACCTCCTTTGTCTTTCCTTCCTTCCCCGTCCCGCTACAACATTTCTTGCTCATTATTGGAAGAAGTTGGCTTGTGGGGCTATCCGGTCCTTTAATCTGTCAAATATTGTCAAATATGTTTTTCAATCTCCCATGTTCATCTTTCGTGCCGCGGCGGTACACGGTGAAGTTCGGACATCTGCTTGTGCAAAAGTCTAGTCGCTTTACTTTGTGCATGTCAGATCGCTCTTATCGTTCATTTTGGTTACCTCACATAGTTTGGGGTGTGGATATCTCACGAAACTTCTGAGAGAACCTTGTGCTCAAATCTTGCGAGTTTCGTTCGATCCTTGTAATGGAATGGTTCGACAACCCACTGACTGTACAAGGATCCTTGTACAGAGTTCCTGTGAGTTCTTTTAAAGGATCCTTGTGCAGAGATCCTGCGAATTCCTTTCAAGGATCTCATTCTGGAGATCCAAGGACATTGCTTACCCCAAGTTGCTTTGGCCACACTCCTTGGGGTCCCTTTCCGAAGTAATATTTGAAGTTACACAGGTTCATTGGCCGAATGCTTGGACATATCTGGACATCGTGTTTCTCTGCAAGTGCCACAATCACTATGCATCATTGCATATCATTGCTACTGAGCACTGCAGTTTGATTTGATTTGTCAAACGGATTTCCGAGATGCGAGTTGTCACGGCACTCTGCAAGCACGTCGTCCCTGCCACAAAGTGGAGACACGAGATGAGGCCCACGGACAAGACGGGACGAAGCGTGCCGGGCATGGCGGGATACCACCCGGCGCAGGCGCGATAGCAGTTGAAGACACAGCTTGAGTCAAGGAGAATACGACCAGTTCACACTCTTCACAGATGTGTCATGGTCAACTTGCAATGAATATGGTATGGTCATCCATGAACATGTTAATCACGGACTTGCTCTTGGAGACCTAGCAGAATATGTCGTGAGAATCGGGATTCACAACTGCCGTGCCAATGCTCTCCACAAACTATGTGCATCCAAATTGCCTGGGGAGGCCGATCATCCTGACACCACAGCACCCTGAAATCTCAATTCAACCCTTTTCCTCAGCCTGATTCCTCCTAAAGTTTCTCGCGGCTGCTAGCGCCTCAAGAATTGCTTGGCTGTGAACATGCTGCACATTGTCGTTGCAAGTGCGCTCCTGCCACTGCCCTCTGTACGGGTTCCGGTTTAAAGAACAGTGCTGCTATGACCTGCACACACCTGCACAAGTTTGGACGAACCGTTGTCATTGGAACTATGTCAACAAAAGCCTTCGCGCTGCAACAACTTTGCTACATTCATGGGGCACAACCTATGCATAGACACCAATACTGACTCGAAATAACTTTTTGGAAAACTGGTTGCTTTTTGAAGATGTCTTGTCTAACCAAAACACCATCCTGACTTTTTGAAACAAATTCACATAACCAAGATACAGAAGTCCTCATAAGTGGCTTCAGACAAATAGCCGTCTGTCATTCCAACAAGCCCGAGTCGGCCCACAATCATGATGGAGTTTGATCTCGCTGTTGCAGCGCGCTTCCGAAAGTCTGGTGGTGGCCATCGCCAGGTGAGAAAAAAACGAAGGTTGATTAAGGTTGATTATCCTAAGTTTTTTTTGTCGCAAGATGCAGACACTAAAATGCATGTATGCGCGGGAAAAAAAAACATTTACATATACTAATCTTTCAGGTCACTGCCTCTTTGGACTTTGCAAATAATGCATGATGCTAATCCTACACACAACACATGGGGTTGTTTTCATTTGTGACATCAAAGTCTTGGCGGGCATCAGATGGTAATGTTGTTGGTGAATTTAACGTGCTTGCCCCTTTTCGATGACTGCCTCAAGAGTTTTTGACTGTTGGTGCTTGACGCACTCCCCCCAAAACAACGAAATCACCTTCGAAATCCAGCTCACCTCTTTTGGCGCTGTGCAAAACCAAGGAGCGACGGGGCCCGATGTTCAACTAAAATGTTGGTTTCAGTTTCCACAAAACTTCTGGCAGACTCCATTCTTGAATTTCGGACCCTGCAAAAACCTCCCAGGCAGCAACGGATTGAGACGCTGGGCGCAACCGCGGCGCCAAAAGATTAAAAAAACGGATTTTGCGGCGCGACGTACGGTGCCAGGTTTTCAATCTGACGATGCAGCCCACACCGCGCACTTCGCGAATCTGGCGGCCAGAAAACAGGGAAGCAGCACCACTTCTTTAGTTGGCGCCACTAGTCTCAATACCATGTGTTGTAATGTCAATCCCGGATTAATAAACCATGGTTTATTAATTGGGGGGGTACTCCTCCAATAATCATTATCTGATACTTAGATGGTAACCTTCCAATTAAACAGCCTGAGGGTTTATTAATCCAGGGTTGACATTATTAGAAACCGGCCATGTTTTGCACGGATTCCTTAATTGTGAACACCTCTATGTGCTAACGTAAGACTGCGACTGAAGCAAGGTTGCAGGGTTGTGTTCATCAACTGCATTACACCCCCTCACCCTTTCCAAGAATCCAAAGCAGAATCTGGTTTCTGTTGCCTGCACAAAGAATAAGCTCAGCATTATCATAGTTGTCATCATCATCCTCATCCTCATCATCATCAGCAGCAGCAGCATCATCACCATCATCACCATCCCATCATCACCATGATCACCATCATCACCATCCTCCTCGTCCTTCTCCAACTCATCATCGTCGTCGTCGTCGTCGTCGTTGTCGTCGTCTTCCTCCTCACCATCACCATCACCATCACCATCATCATCACCACCATCATCAATAACATCATCACCATAATCATCATCATTATCATCAACACTATTGTCGTCGTCGTCGGGAGCGGCGGCGGCAGCAGCAGCAGCAATATCACTGTCAGCATCGCTATCACCACAAATCACCGCTGCCATCAGCCTGACAGCCTGGGCCCTAGCCCTAATTGCACTACTTGGACTTGTTCTTCGATCGAGGAAACAAACCCTGACCACTAGCCCTGCTTGTGAGTGTTCAAGTTGTATTTGTGTAACCAGAGTAGGGGCGAAATCCCAACTTAGGTTTGGAATCACTGGAATCCCGCACCCCCCGTGCCACCCCATTTCGGCCTTGGCCGCCACCAGGATGGCCAGCGACCGCGATTCGTCGCCGGTCCCACACTGGTCACGACCGCGGTCGTGGGGCCGGGCTCCCCAATGGCAAAAGAAATGGCACGTTGGAACGAAGTTGGACTCATCTCAGGCGATTTCTCAAAGATTCTGTTGGCCGACTGTGGCCAGATGATCCATATCATTTTTGTAGGTTTTAGTTAGCCACGTCCCAAAAAACATAAATGCAGGAAAAAAATAACAAAGAAATATACCATGAATTACCATGATACATGGATGGTGTAAGGAAAATCTTTGGTGCCATCATGGTGCCCAACCCTCGCAATGTCAACACCTTAGGGCGTTGCTGGCTCGACCATGGCCCGTGGCATCACTGCCCCATCCGATGGCTGTCTTTGACGCCCAACTCGGATCTCACCAGACAGTTTAGCTCTACTGCCTCGGCAGGTCTGGATGAGAGACTCAGCGGCTTTGGAAGGTGCTGCTGCTGCTGCTGCTGCTCATGATCATGATCATGGTGATGGTGATGCTGATGATGATGATGATGATGATGGTGGTGGTGATGATGGTGGTGATGATGATGGTGGTGGTGGTGATGATGGTGGTGATGATGATGAAGATGATGATGATGATGATGATGGTGATGATAATGATGATGATGATGGTTTTGCTGATGATGGTTTTGCTGATGATAATGATGATGATGATGGTGGTTTTGATGATGATGATGGTGGTGATGATGATGGTGATGATGATGATGATGATGGTGGTGGTGGTGGTGATGATGGTGATGATGATGATGGTGATGATAATGATGATGATGATGGTGATGATGATACTGATGATGATGATGATGATGATGGTGATGATGATGATGATGGTGATGGTGATGATGGTGATGATGATGATGATGGTGATGATGATACTGATGATGGTGATGGTGATGATGATGATGGTGATGATGATGATGATGGTGATGATGATGATGATGGTGATGATGATGATGATGGTGATGATGATACTGATGATGGTGATGGTGATGATGATGATGATGATGGTGATGATGATGATGATGGTGATGATGATGATGATGATGGTGGTGGTGGTGGTGATGGTGGTGATGATGATGATGATGGTGATGATGATACTGATGATGGTGATGGTGATGATGATGATGGTGATGATGATGATGATGGTGATGATGATGATGATGGTGATGATGATGATGATGGTGATGATGATGATGATGGTGATGAGGAGGAGGAGGAGGCAGAGGCGGAAGGTGGTAGTAGTGGTGGTGGTGAGGAAAAACCTTGTGACAGTGTGACGACCCAGAGTACTAATTGGGCTCACACATGGAATGATTCGCTTGCCAACATACAGGACGGTTTTTTATGGTACCTGCACCCATTCGGCTTCCAAAAGTACATAGATTCTTGTGGTTTCAACCAATTTTTAATGTGGCCATTGGGTGGTCAGGGCTCCCGAGCATCAAGGACTTTGCTCATGGCCTGGCAACCCGTTTGGGGATGGAATCCCAGCCGTTTATGGTGATGACTTGGGGATGGTTTGTTGCAATGAAAACTTACCACATAACAGCCAAAAAATGAGCATTTTGACTCTTGACCAAACAAAAGTAGCTTGAGCGAATCCCGCAGAGTTCAGCTGGCCTCGAACTGCTTGCAGGTCGTAGTATCTTCATAGGCATCCGTAATGTTCAGGCTGCCGTCACTGTTCACGTTCCTCGCGCATGAGCTGCAGAGCTGAGTGACTTGGATGAGTGTCGTTTGACAACCTGGGTAATTTATCCTGGTGAACATTCCTAACCACCAATTCATGATGGCTTAGGGTGACAAGCAAATGAAAGCTCACCACATAGAGCCAGCAGACCCCCCTGTCCAAAAAGGGGGACCACCATTTCTCAATGGAACTTGACACATCTGAGCATCCCCACCCCTTAAACTCACGCTTGGAGTTTAGCAGCTTACTGATGGTCTCGCCTCAGCCACAGGCACTTGGGTGTCTGAAAGCAGGCTACTCCCAATAAAGCCAAGTGGCGATCCCGCAGCGGAATCTCGCCCTTCAGAACGATGCTGCCTCAGCCAACGAGGGCACATGGCTATGGCTCCAAAATGCGGTCCTGAGCACAAACAGCCAGGATCCCTGGGATGTGTCCCAAAAAGAAAAGGATCTTCTCTCCCCTAAGCCCACACAGATTTGCCATCCAATGATTGCGTATTTTTCCCTACTAAACATCATTCAATGATATGTAGAAAAACTCCAACTTTTGTGGGTCAATTATTTTGAGCTACATCCCCATTGTATAACTATGTTGGGATATACAATGTGGTGGATGCCCCAAAGAATGGCCAATTTTTTCGCCGGCACATCCTCCATGTTTGGTCACTCATGTCCCCGAAAAAAAAAAAACATCCACAGAAAATACCTGGTTTCCACCATCAAGTAGTAGGTACTTGCCATAGAAAACCATACTGTCGACTCAGGGGGGATACCACCCAACTGGGATCTCTGACCAACCCCCTGGTAGACCGCCTCCTTTAGGTCGCGATCCTTCGATCGGAAAATCGCGAAGCGCCACCAATATGATACAGAATGCTAACTCATATCCCATGAATAGTATATACAACTGGCCACTATGACTTGTATGATGTTACATATATATATATGTCATAGATGTACATATACATATAACTCATGTATGTGTCTATATGTGCATGTGCACATATATACATATATAACTTTTATAGCCTCTACTGGCGATATGCCGATACCTCAAATTGATCCTGATTCATTCGTTGACTCGCTTCAGCTCCATTCTATTCTGTCCTAATCTTTCCTGGTTGTGCATACTACGTCCTTCTATCCACCCTTGGCTTGATGGACCTTCTTTACCTAAGAAATTAAACCTATATCATCTCGTATATGGTTAGATTAAAAAGCAATCTATCATTAGCAATCTATGTCTGTAATCTGTTATTGCAACGGCACACCGCCCTTGGACATATCGACAAATGTTACCACTGTCCAAAAAATTGTGCTGAGGTGTGCCTAAAAATGGAAGAGTATATGTGTATGTGTGTATATATACATATACATATTATACATATACGTATACGTATACATATACGTATACGTATACAAATACGTATACGTATAGGTATACGTAAATGTATACGTATACGTATACATACACATAATATATATATATACATATATGTACACATATGTATAAATGGGTTTGTCTGAAAATAGGGTACCCCTAATTAAATCTCTTGATTATCCCTATTCCGATGGCCAAACTGGGGGGGTACTGTAACGGACCCATCTCCGGCACAATCGGCACCCAACAGGTCACATCCACATCCCGAAGGGTCGTTGTTGATGCTGTACTTCTGGTCGCTGTAAATGCCTCGGTGTTCGATATGTTCGATGAGTTGCTGAGGTTTGGTCTCGAACTGATTGAGTTTGGGTCTTTGGGTAGCAGTGAGAACTCTTATTGGTGCTGAATGCAAATATAACAAGCAGTGGCTGCATCATCCGAATCTGTTGACAGGTTTTCCCGCCATCGCTGGAATTGTTTTGGTTTAGGAAATGGGTTAGGAAATTGTCAAAGAGGTACAGTACTACTTCCTCCATGTGACCTGACAATCATGACAGGTAAAAGGAATCCGTTGTGCAGGGGCTGCATCCACAGCCTTTCGCTTCACCCAAGACCAAAGTCTCAAAGTATACGCATCCCACTTTCAGTTCAGAGGATTCATGACTCATAACCCGCTATCCATCGGCTTTACCCAAAAAGTTCATTCCCCGCAGGAAACCCTGAGGACCCGGTCTGGGGCTCTCTGTGAAGAAGAGATTCAGCGCCTGGTCCCCCAAAAGATCAGTCATGAGATCTGCCAGGCGACGTGGAACCGGGCCTGGTTGAAGTGACCGTTGCCAAGGGAAGTGTACAGCTCCTGAAATCACCACATCTGGACCGGTAAACCGCCATTCACCATCCCCTATGACTTACCGATGTGACCTTCTGGACGATCCACCATGCCATCACCAAGGGCCTCTTGGATGACACATGACACCAATTATCATCAACAAATTACCAGTTGGGTAATTTCAGCTAAGTTCAAGAGGAAAGCTATCCACCCAGGTTTGCAGTGATGTCTTATAGACATCTCCCATGTCCAACCCGACCCGTGCTGTTTCACCCGACTCCTTCTGCCGGAAGAGGCGCTCATAATGTGCCTCCAGGGGTGGTTTCGGTTTCCCCAGTAGTTTTGAACTTGGGGTCCGAAACCACAAAGATGCAGAAGTGGTAGTTGAATGATGTTGAATGATGTTGAATGATTTTGAACGATGTTGAATGATGTTGAATGATGTTGAATGATGTTGAATGATGCTGAAAAATGTTGAAAAATTTTGAATGATGTTGAAGATGCTGAACGATGCTGAAAGATGTTGAATGATGTTGAATGATAGTCGCAAGATGTTGAAAGATGTTGAATGGTATTGAAAGATGTTGAAAATGGTGAAAGATGTTGAAGATGTTGAACCATGTTTGAAAGATGTTGAAAGATGTTAAACGATAGTTGTAAGATGTTGAAAGATGTTGAAAGAGGTTGAAAGATGTTGAATGATAGTTGAAAGATGTTAAAAGAGGTTGAAAGATGTTGAATGATAGTTGAAAGATGTTGAAAGAGGTTGAAAGATGTTGAATGATAGTTGCTTGATAGTTGAAAGATGTTGAATGATGTTGAAAGATGTTACAAGATGTTAAAAGATGTTGAATGATGTTGAATGATGTTGAATGATGTTGAAAGATGATGCATGAAGTTGAAAGATGTTGAAAGATGTTCAATGACGTTGAATGATATTAAAAGATGTTGAAGATGTTGAATGATTTTGAATGATGTTGAATACGGTTGAATGATGTTGAAAGATGTTGAAAAATGTTGAAAAATTTTGAATGATGTTGAAGATGCTGAACGATGCTGAAAGATGTTGAATGATGTTGAATGATAGTCGCAAGATGTTGAAAGATGTTGAATGGTATTGAAAGATGTTGAAAATGGTGAAAGATGTTGAAGATGTTGAACCATGTTTGAAAGATGTTGAATTTGATGATGAATGATGTTGAATGATAGTTGAAAAATGTTGAACGATGTTGAATGATATTGAAAGATGTTGAAAGATGTGGAATGATGTTAAAGATGTTAAAGGATGTTGAATGATGTTCAAAGATGTTGAAAGATGTTGAATGATCGTTTAAAGATGTTGAAAGATAGTTTAAACATGTTGAAAGATGTTGAATGATGTTGAATCATAGTTGAAAGATGTTGAATGATACTTGAAAGATGTTGAAAGATAGTTTAAACATGTTGAATGATAGTTGAAAGATGTTGAGAGATGTTGAAAGATGTTGAAAGATGTTAAAAGATGTTGAATGATAGTTGAATGATAGTTGAACGGATGAGATAAACTGCTTGGCTTTGATTTCGACTTGGCAGTTTTTGAGGATCATCGTGGTTTTTCATCCCTTTCCGAATGGAGCAAAGCCTGGGGTGCAAAGCCCTTCTCATCTTCCAGTTTGGAGCGCCAGTTCCTGAGCTCAGAGAAGTTCAGCTCAAGCGCAGATTTTTTCCCGACATGATTTGATTACCCCTGGTGAACATCAAAATAGCTGGCAAATGGATGTTCATCCCCCTAAAAATGGTATTAATAGGTATTGATCCATACCCACATATCCATGGAGATGGATATGGAAAAACACATCTTTGTACACTTTTGAATAGATAAACATCCGTCTATCACTGGCTATCCAACTTGAATTCTTGAATTCAGCTGAGAGGCTCAATGGACTTGCGACCCAAGTCGCTCTCGGGTGACTCTCGCCTTGGAAAATGTGATGAACCGTTTCTCCAGCACCAATGATTCACAAATGCGGATAGCTACCCGAGGTAGCTATCTACTCAATTGTGAATAGATAAACCTCAGGTAGCTACCTCAAGTGTCAAAGTCTAACTTTGTAAATGTTCGAAGTCGAAGTTTTATGAATCAATCTTCGCCCTCTCACCATCGACAGCTGAGGTCCCACCATCACTAGGCCTCCAGACACCAGCACCGGGATGTCATGACCTTCGTTCCCCTGTCGCTTTTGGAAACCTGTCGCGAGCTGAGCTCCCCGTGGCGAGCTGAGTCCCCGTTCTTTCTGCATCCGAACAGCACCGCGGGGACTTCACCCATAGCCATAGATTACGCCATGTGGGTACTTCATCATGGCTATGGGTACTATATATGTGGTACATTAGTGAAGTACTAAAAATGAAAACTCATATCTATATTAGATTATTTAGAGATCAGTTTTCCTTCTCAAACTAAAATCGGATTTCCTCGCCACATCTGTCCACCAGTCACATCTATCCAACGCCATCGCCTTTCTCCTTGAAGCTGGTCGCCAAGTAGTGCACATGCTCCACGGACAGCCCAGTGTGACCTGGCCATGGCCATGGTTAGACTAAGTTAGACGACCATGTCTGGAGGGTGCATCCATGTAAAGCTTCGATCACATATGTGTATGTACATCTATATTGTCTAGATAGTCTATATAGTCTATATAGTCTATATATACATATACATATACATGCAAATACACAAACATAGATATGTAATGATATGTATGTATCTACACATATGCGTATTTGCGAAACCATACATGCATGTGCCCCAAAACTTGACGGGGTAAATCCTCGACACCGAGACACCGCGATTGCTGAAGTCTGGGATGACCTTTCTTGGAGCGACCTCACAAGTCGGCTCAGAGACAAAGGTGGCAAAGAAACATCCTGGACTTTGTGACAGACGTTTTTGATGTTCCAAAATAGTATCCGATACTATCCCTCACCACAAAGTGAGAAGCCAAGAAACCCAAACGCCTAATTGACTTAGAAGCTATCTACCAAGTCCCAACCAAAAAGGGAACTAGGAAAATGATGAGCGGTGGTTAGGCAGTTATCTGGCTGGAAATCGCAGTAAATGGCTTATGTCAGTTCTATCCCTCATAAACGGCCAGTTGCTACTGGGATACAATCCATGTACCACCAGGTACGTTCACTAGCTTGTGGGTCATTTGAGGATATCTCACTAGTGGCTAATAATCATGTCACATGTCACCAATTGAAATACATTCACTAGCTGTGACATAAATTCAGTAAATTATCCACTAGCTGTTACTTGGATGCTACTTAATAGACATGGGAGTTTCCTGAAATGGAGGTACCCCAATAGCTGGATGGTTTATGTCATGGAAAATCCATCTATGAAAATTTGGATGATAACTGGGAGTAACCCTATGACTTAGGAAACCTCCATATAGGAATTTTCCAGGGGAACATGTTGGGATATACCTGGTAAACTAACATAACTATGGAAAATCACCATTTTTAATGGGTAAATCCACTATAAATGGCCATTTTCAACAGCTATGTTAGTTTACCAGAGGGTAATAGACATCAGCTAGTACCAGTGGTACATGGTGTTACACTCAGCAGCTGAACGCTGAACTCCCTGGCGACCAACAAGTGACCTTGGCCACACCCTCGATGCGCCACTTGGAAATTAGATCGTTCAACAGTTTCAGCTCCGCCTCCGCAGGACTCCGCAGGACCGGTGGAAGCAGTAAAAATATCCAACCACAAAGCAAGAAATAGGGATGATTGAGCAAATTTGGAAGAAGAATTTGGAAATTGGATTTTAAGCACAAGTAATGATGTTCCGAATTCTTCCAACAGCTAGAATAGAGGTTTGAACACCAAAACTAGCGTTGAGCCAGCAAACATTGAGGATGAACAAACATGAGATCTAACCAATAAACAACGGACAATAGGAGATCCATTTATACGATAATACAAACATGTATTTTAAAAAATGTTTCTAAATGGGTATGGATCGAAAACTCAATGAACAGGTCGGGCTCAGAATGGTGAAGCATCGCTTTCTCTCCACCAAACCCAGCCCATCTAGCAGGTCACTCCGACCCTTCACCGTCACGGGCCTTGTCCTTGTCCTCGTTGTCCTCAACCTCGCAGCGCTTGAAGGAGATATGGTTGTGCCGACTGCGAAGGGTACGCATGAGACTATGTGGATATCTGGCTGAGTTATTTCATAGTTTGCTTTTAAAGAAAAAGGATCCCGATCCCTTTTCTAAACATCGATTCTGGTGACGCTGTGGTGAGGTCGTGATAATTCCTTCGAATATCTGTATACTCTACAGACATACTAGTTACTAGAATATACAAATACATTTAGGCAAATAGATACACAAAATCAGAGATCATGAAAAACTTACCTTAGGTGTAGCCTCAGGGCCTGCTTCCCTTTATCTTGTTGCTCTTGAGCCCACATTGCGTATGACTGGTGCTTGGTACAGGACATATCCAGTGGCAAGAGTCTGTGGAGACGAGCCTGAAGGAAAATTCGGCCAAAAAGGCGCCCATGAGAGGCAGGCGGAAAAGCTGGCCACAGGCTACAGGCAATGTCGTTCCCAGAAGCTGCCAGAATTCAGCCTATAAAAAAATCACTTTCAGTGAAGGCAAAAAGAATGGCAGTCACAATGGCACTGCCACAGGAAAATAAAAAAACTAGAGGCCGGCTCAAGCAGTCAGGAGGCGAAGATGGCAATGGAGACGAAGGCAAAGCAGAGGGCTACAGGGCAGGAGGTGTGGTTGCCATGGCGAGCTCAGCACGTCGGCGCAAAACTGCTTGGGCCCGGACAGTTCGAGCAGCCACACACAGCTCTTGCAGAAGTGTGGCACGGAGCCCCTCTCCATCGGCCCCTTCACGGGCAGCTGCAGCGCTGGAGATCTTGCGGAGGAAGCCGGCAGCTTTCGGCTCCCAGGCGCCTGTAGTTTCGGCCACTAGGGGGAAAAATTCAACCCCTTGCCCCCGACATGCTGCAGCAGTGTCCAAATGGGCTGCTTTGGTTTCCGCATACGCAGAAGCGGCCGCCAGACTGGTGCGCGCTGCTTCTCCCAAGGTTTCCTGCCGCGAGGGGGTCGTGACGGCCAGGTCAAAGGCAGTAGGTGAACCAAGGTATGAAGGTACGTACAAGTCTGCCGGCCGCCGCCGCATGCTGCTGGAATCGTCAGGGTGCTGGGGTAGCAGGAGTCCTCCCTTCTCTTTCTCTGGCTGCAACCCCGCTCGGTCAACCCAAGTTGCGAGGATGTCCCGGAGTGCGTGGTGGCGGACAGTGCGCTCGCCTCCTGCACAGCACACAGCTGCGTGGAGGGTCAACGTGTCCAACACCCCATCACAGCGCGGGCACCAAGCTTCCGTGCTGGCGTCAGCCACGCCCAGCCGTTGCCGAAGCTCTGTGACAAAAACCGCCGGCTCCATCCGAGTTTTGCCAGAAGGCGGCGCTGCAAGGAAAGCACGGGCCCCAGGTTCAGCCTCGGACCGCAAAACAGCTTGGCTAACAACAGTGGCGGTCTGCAGCTGTCGGTCCCAGCTGGCGGTGTCTAGCAGCATCGTGAGGGCTTTCTGGTTCTTGGTAAGAGCTACATCCACCGTCAAGGGGGCGGCAGCTGCTTGGTTGAAGGCTTGCAGTGCAGTGGTGACCGCTGGCTGAACACGTGGGGGGAAAGAGTTGTAGGCTGCGTCAAGTTGGCAGGACCTCTCCGACGTGAAGCCGACAGAGGCCAAGTAGCATGCTGGGGCGTCGTGGATGGTGGACCGAAGTCCCAAGCCAGCCTGTCCAAACGCACGCCCAGCTTGTTCCCATTGTGGCTTGCTGAGGTGGATGCCGGTGAGCATGCTGAAGGTGCTGAAGGAGCTGCGGACCTTGTGGTCAAAGGCTTGCAGGGCAGCCAGCTGCGGCTCGGGCGGGTTGCACCGCAGGCTGTGGACCATGCGGGTGTGTCCGGCACACGAGCGCAGAAGCCGTAACCCCACCTGAGGGTCTTCCAGGCTCGCGATGGCATCCAAGAGGGCGCTGGCTTTGGCCACTCGAGCGGTGGTGTGGGCAGCAATGAAAGCTGCATCTCCAATGGCTGCCCCCAGCAGCTCGAAGTGAGTCTGAACCTTGCTCTCCCCGCTGCTAGTCCGGAGGAGGGTATCTGGGAACTTGGTGGCCAAGGGCCCATCAGTAGTGAGCCCAACTTTGATGATCTCGCACTTAGCAAGGTTGAGGCGCAGGCCCAACTCCGCACACCGGGCCTGTGTGTGGGAGAGGGCCGCCGAGACAGCGTCGATGTCACCGGCAATGACGCCGTCATCAAGATAGAAGGTTGCCAGGTCGAGGGGGCCAGAGCGAAGTTCCTCCGCCAATGGTTGCAAAGCAGCAGCGAACAGCAGAGGGCCCAACGGGTCACCCTGTTGGACGCCACAAGCGGATTGCAAGATGGTGGTGCCAAACTGCAAGGAAGAGGCCGTTCCATAGCACCATGCAGTCCATCGCGCCAAGGCGGGAAAGTGCGAGCGGACCGCGGAAAGGACGTGATCGCGGCTGATGGTATTGAAGGCGTTCTCGAAATCCAGCTTGAGCAGGACTTTGTTCTGTGAGTGCGAGTGCCTGTCAAGCCAGGCCCGTACTGCGTGCACAGCCGCTTCCGCACCACCTGAGACAGCTACCCCGACCTGGGCAGGGAAGAAATGCTGTCGGGCCGAAGTGTGGAGTTGGCTCATGAGGCACTTTCCGGTCAGGCGCCGCAAGAGCTCCCCGATGGCGATGGGGCGCACGCCTCCTTTTGGCTTCGGGACGGCAACCAGGTGTGCACCGCAGAGCACAGGCGCCACCGCTTCGCATGCCTGACCATTGGCCAGAAGCGCAACCACGGCGGCCAAGTGCTGGTGCAGGGTGCCTATAGTTCCAGGGGAGCATGCATCCCGAAGGTGCTGCACTCGGAGGCCGGAGGGGCCAGGAGCGGATGCAGCAGGAAAGCTGCGTAGAGCTTTTGCGACCATGTCAGGCTCGACCAACGGGCCTGGGCACAGTTCGTGGAACGGTGGCACCGCTGGGTTGGGCTGGGTGGGGTGCAGCTGTTGGAGTGCTGCGATTGTGGCAGGCGTCTCTGCGCACAGGCCGTCGGCGAGAAGGGCTGCGCAGGCTTTACTGTCGAAGCCTTCCCGGGCCAAGCCAGTAGCAAGCTCTTTGCGTTGGTTGGCAGTACGTTCACGGCCACTGGGGGGCAATGGGGGCCGGCGGCTTTCCCAAAGGCCAGCCCTTTCGCCAGACTCCCACCGCTGCAAGCGATCCAACGTGTAGGCCGCCACGGCCTTGGCGTGTTTGCGCCCTCCGCGCTGTGGGGCATCAAGGACCGCCTGCGGAAGCATGAGCAGTTCTTGCCAAGCCCTGATGTCGTTGTGGTGGGCAGCTGCTGCAAGGGCTCGGGTCAACACTTTCCCCCACAGGTAGCGGGCTGCGGCAGGCACATGTCGAAGCGTGCGGGTGCGGCCCAGCAGGATTGCGTCGAGTGATGGCAAGGTGTCACCGGCAGCGGCGCTGCGAGGTGCACCGGCTGCGGCCCTGGCAGCCGCGCGGCAGGTTGGGTGTATGCCATGCCGACTGGAGACGCTAAGCCCGCACTCAAGGCAGCGAGTACGGTTGTGCGAGTGGAGCCAAGGAATGGGCACATCCCCGTGAAGACTGCCTGCCAGGTGCGCATCAATGTGCGATTGCATGGATGCCACCGAAGCCCACCCTCGTGCCCGCAAGGGGTCGCCTTGCAGACATCCAGGCACAGGGCAAAAGACTCGACCGCGAGAGGAAGGCTGCCCTCCGTCGGTGTCCATGGGGTCGTGGAGGGCCGCCCCCCCGCGAGGTGAGTGGCTGCGTTGCCGAGGGCGTTCGCCACCCAGAGGTGTGCCAGGGGACGGAGCCATGGCAGGCTACAGTGGGGGGGCCCGAGCAGGCGGAGGGAGCACACCAGAGGTCCTGAGACGTGGGGCCCGCGACACCGCCTGCCCGCGCCCCGCCACTGCAACCGAAAGGGGCGGACCCCCGATGAGCGTTTGAGAGTCCAGATGCAAGCTGACACCGCAGCGATATTTATGATACTTTCAGCATCTGTCAATAGAGAATTAGAGAATTCCCAAAGGAAAGAATTAAATCCAGAGCTAATTCTAGCACAAGCAAGCCCCATCACAGGTATCAAGTCTGAAGTCAATGCTCTTGAAGCAACTGTTGATCAGTACTGGGAAAGAATTGACACAAAAAAGTCAAGTATGGTTGGCTCTGATATTGACTCCTTTTCACACTCATTATAATTACAACTTTAATTTGCTTAATGTGGGTAAAATGATGTCATAAACCACCCACTTGGGAATGGTTTATATATACCACCTATGAAAATGGTGATGACTGGGGCATGGTAAACATGGCATTGCTGTACCCACATTCGTTTCATGGGGAAAAAAACACATCCCAGCAGCTTACTTCCGGTAGCGCCAGGGTCCCAAGCCAACTTGGCATGTGCATCCGAAGTACCGGGGCAGCAACCCTGGAAATACCCAGATGCGAAAGCTACATGGGGAGGCGAATAAAAAAACAAGCTGGGAAGTAATTGGAATAGGAATATTTCTCAAGCTGGGAACCCAAAACTAGAGGTGTAGCCATGGTTTGAAAGAGAGCCATGTCTGTTTTGATGTCCAAATTTACGCAGAAACATGGCTCTCATCTGTAGCCGATTGGTGGGAATCCAAACGCCCCCATCAACCGACTGATGGTTACTAAAAACCCATTTGGGTTTGTCTGAAAATGGGATATCCCCTCAAAACTCTATGGTTTTTTTTATGTTTATCAATGTTTACCATCAATTTCATTCAATTTCCCTAAAATGGCTACAGATTTTCAGGTCAATATCCGCCATTTTCAGATCCCCATTTTCAGGCACCTCCACACCTCTCTTCAGCGGATTGCTGGAGGAGCCTACAGACGGGGATATATAGGAAGTTGCTACAGATTTTCCCATCTGGGATTGGAAGATTCAGAATGAAAAATTCCCATGTTTGATGGAAACCCAAGTTGAATGATCCTTGACATGCTTTCTTTGCCATACTTTGGATCTTTAGTGATAGTTGTTTCATGGATCATTTAATATCCTTTCTTGGTCAATTGACCCATGGTTTAAATGTATTCAAATCACCTCTTCGTTTTTTCGGAGTGCCATTTGTTGCCTGCATAGCCCAGGCCCTTCATCTGCTCTGTCCAGGCTTCCATTCGTTCCGAGGAGGCCTTTGAGCGCATGGGGAGATTCATCAGGTGGGTCAGTGCTATACTGGTTGGTTATAAAAGTATAATCATATATGATAATCTCTATGGTAACCATAATCTCCATATATGTGTGATACTATATTATGCATATATTTCTATTATATATATAGTATCGCACATATATGGTATCACACATATATGATACCCTCCATATAGTGATTATCATCATGAGTATTCATTGAGTATTCTACATGGATTATGATCCATATATGGAGGTGTCCAACATAGAATAAACACCGGCAAACTCCAATCCATGGGGGTACCCCCAAATCATACAAGTCAATAGACAATTTTAGCATTGAAACCTATGGTGACTTGGGGAACCTCTGTTTAAAAGAAGCTCCATAGGAAAATATAAAGTGGTAATTTGTGTGGATTATTGAGAACATGGGAGCAGTGTTCAAAACCCTATGTCACCCCTTCAAAAACTGGCTAATTAGAATGGACGTCTGTGTGCATGGATTAGATTATGATCTAACACAGATCATCCCCAATACAAAGAGGGTAACTCCCAAACTGAGAACATGGGTTTCCAATCCACTGCCCTTTTGGGGTGGCCAAAAAAAAAACAAAACAAATGGGGAGTAGTTATCCAATGAAAGGTGGAACAATGGGTCTGATTATGGTGGAAAAATCTCACCCAAATGGCCAGAAAATCCCCATGGGATTTCGGGGCTCAGGAAACCAAGCCCATTCATGAAACCATGGGGTTTCAGTGTGACAGGAACCAGGTTTTTGGTGTACAAGGAAAAGCGTTGAAAAAGTATGGACTTTGGGATGGGGCATCCCATTGACAGAACAAAAGTCCATAAGAACTCCCGAAGAGGTGATAGAAAAAGAAGAAATTGATTCTTGATTCCCATTCCCATTCAATGAATCTCAACATTTCACTGGGAATCAGCTCTGCCCACCTTGGTCCAGATCACGGAACGTGCGAAGTGCATCACCTCTTTGCTGGGAGCTTCCTTGAACTCCACCCTCTCATCCTCCAACCTGGGGCTGTGGCGGCTGTGACACAGAAATCGGATGACTTCCTCTGGTTGACCTTGTGGTTGTGTAAATCCTCAAATTCCTGGGAGGTTCAATGATTTTGAATCCAAACTAGAGAAAAACACTCAGGTCGACGGGTGAAACACCAAAATACTTTAATAAGCGGATCTTCTTGGATGTGGATTGCACTGGAAAGATGTTCCCCATAGTTGCTCAGGCACAGGCCAACCATTCAACTGCCAGATCTTTCCCACGCTACTGACCTCAACTGAGGCACCCGCAGCTTCAGTTTTGCAGTATTTCTACCACGGTTGAAGCCGAAAAATCATGATCTGATTTCTATTTGGGTTGAAATACCAAAATTATCCAAGAGTAAGATCATCTGAGAATTGTTTAACCACAATCTATAGGCTCCAACATCATTGCCAGCGAGTCGCAGACCCCTTGGGCCCATTCTAAAGAGGGCCAAGGCGCAGTTCCATCATCGTTCAGAAGGATGGGATGTGCTTTCATGATCAAGCCATTCAAAGACACCTGGTCAAGCTATGCCGTCAATGTTTTGGGAAGCCATCCGTTTCCATAGTGGTCATCTCTGGAGAGCTCCAGTTGTGGGAATTCCACATGGCCAACTACCAGTTGTGAGTGAGGATGCTTCGCGTTGCAAGCCTAATGCTGGGCATGATTTAATGCCCCAATCCTAGTATTGATGGGGCAAGGATCTCAAATTATGAAACATTATGAACATCGCCATTGGCAGGATCTAAAACAGCCACTTCTGGCACCCCAAACACTTTTTCGGCAGAGCCCCCGTGTCGCCTGCGTGTCCTGCACAGAAATCTTTGCTCCCATGCTGTTGACCCAGTCTCCCTGCAAGCCATCAGGATCCCTATGCCCCGGATCTGCAATGTCCATGAAGACTGGTTGATGAATAGAATCTTAGAAGTGTTACGCCCCAAAAACGAAACTGGGATCTCTGTTAGAAAAAAGGAGCGATGGGGGATTGATCCGAAGTTGACATTCTAACACCTCCGTCACATCCATCTTCCTTACATCCTCCTTACATCTTCCTTCTTCATGTCAATCACCACTGGAAGTTAAAAAAAAAACTGCCTAGCTCTGGAATTCTACTTTTTCACATGTTTCTCACAAATCTTCAGGTCTATTTGCTTAGATGATCGCAACATTCTGGATGGCAGATGATGCAAAACCTTTCAGTGATGGGCCCTATCACTTGTGACTGGTTTGCAACTTCCTTCAACAGAGGTAGATATTCCCAGTGAATGTCGAGCTCTATTTGGCATCTAAAATGGCTGGGTACCTGTAGATCTAATGATCTCTCATCGGCTCCCATCTTTGGACACACTCGTCTGATAAATCGCCGCTGTGACCCGTTGAATGATATTCCAATCAGTTGCGAACCCGTATGTTGAATCATATCCCATTTATATCCACCTATGGTTATTTATGGTTATTTACATCAAGCTTGTTAGTTCATGTTAGTTATATAACTCATATCCCCATGATATCATTCTGCTGGGTTCTCCATTCTGCTTGCTGTTTCACCCCACCTGCAAGGTCTCCAGGGTGATCGGAGTCGTTGGCGCAGGCTTTGCCGGCGCAATCGGCGGCGCTGCTTCCGCGGCTGGCGCGGCGGCTGGCGCGGCAGCTGGCGCTGCTGGGGTCTTTTGAAGATCCCGGCCATCTGCCTGGGGGATATCCGTTCCGACAACATCGGGAGTTGCTGCGGAGCCATTCTGATGGCGATTGGAGCATCAAGAAATTGTGGATCTTTGACCAATCATGGATGAATGGGTTGGTCTCGAGATGGGGTAAAAACCGGGTTTACCCACAAAATATGTGGCCAAATTTTGATGAACATGATGATAGACCATCAAAGTTGGGGCGAAACCCACTTTGAGACAATCCAATAAAACTGTTGGGAATGGCCAGGAGATGTGATGAGAATGGAGAAGATTTCGTCAACAAAAAGCCCCAAAAAAACCTTGGTGGTGTCAACCACACCAAGAAATAGTGGTCAACTAAATGATACTATTCTCAAAACCTCGAACCATCAAAAAACAGGGCTTTTTTGTTATTGTACTCATTAAATCTCATTAAACATCACCCAACAAAAAACGGGATGTCTCCAATCAGTGCCACGCGGAAAAAACCAGTACCAGCCTCGTCTTTCTCGGACTCGTCATCCCTCAGCACCGAGGTAGAACGCCCACGCTAGTGGAAAAGTCGCCATGGGAAAGCCATGGGGATGAACGGGATTTTAGTGCTTATGAATGGTATTAATAATTGGATTTGAATGATTCATAATGGCTAATATCATTGGATTTTAATGGTTTTCAGAATGGTTGATGAGAATTAATAGTGATCATTCATGGTTTTATCAATGATAATTAATTAGTAAAGCAATGCCATAAACCACCCATCTAATTTCGATTGTTGGATTCTCACCCATTTCTTTATGGTAAATTGGGGGGATGATGGATTGTATTGCTTTACCAAGATTATAAATGGTGTCTAGAATGGGATATAAACCGAAAATATAATCCGCTGGCATATTATGGGAAATCTATAATATAATATAGGAATCGTAGTTCCTGAATCGTAGTTTCTAAATCGTGTATAGCTTCTGAATCGGGCAATGATCCAGATATATGCATATAGTTTGGGAAAAAAGAAGTTGGTTGAACTTCACCCGACTATACTGTAGATCGATGATAAATCCACCATACTTCCAACACTCATGTAAAGTAGACCAACCTAGCCCTAACCTAAGAATGGGAGACCACCTTGCATCAAAAAAGATGTTGATTCAAAAATCACATGGTTTCAACACTCCAAGGACTCCGATGTGAAAATGTCAGCGCCAGGCTCCCCCAGTAGCCACGGCCCAACAGCACTGGGCTCCATTGGCTCCGAAATCGCTGAGAACGCCGAAGGCGACTCCCCACGCGGCATCGGCCCCTTCCGAAATTTCTCCGAAAGGTCACCATGGTCACCATGGCCATGGTGAAAGGTAACTACGGTAGTTGGCCCGGTAGTTATACAATATAGTTAATAACCATATTAGGATATATATACCTATATGGTTCTATATGGTTCTATATGGTTGAATATGGTTGATTGGTTAACTACTGTAGTTAAAAGATGTTTTTACAGTGGTTCGACATCGAGACATTCTGATGGCTACCCAGCCAGCCTCAGATCCTGCAATGGTGGAGGCAGTGTCCTGGCAGTGACAAATCCCATGAGGAAATCGCGAAAAATATATCTCCAGGGCCTATCTGTTTGGGGTGAATTTCAGATATGATATGATGATATAATATATTCATATATATTGATATATATTGTATAATTCATCTCATTTCACTGACAAAAACACGTCTTGAGATGTTGTAAAGCTTGAGTCTCGCAGAATGGACATACATATCTTTGCTGCCAACAAACAGATACAAAAAGTGGGTTTATTTCTTGGATCATGGACCACTCCTCCCGGGAGACAACCTGTTTCACTGGTGAACATGTCCGGTTCAAATCACTGTTTCCAGCGATACACCACTGTGGACATACTGCTGATCGGTCATTTGAATATTCAACCAACCTGTGCAAAGACCCTGGCCATTGTTCTTCGAAAGAAGTCTGGTAAAATGAAACGCAGGGTGCTAACAGTTCAGATTCCCTATAAAGAGGGGGAAGTTCAAATCTCATTTCAGAATTTTTTGGCATTGATGCAATGTGAACAAGATCAACCGATTCCCCCGATTCCATAGATAGAAAGGCCACCAGCCCACCTCACTCTTTTGGCCCTGAAAGTCATAGCCTGCAGCAAAATGGTGGCCAAGAAGAGTTTTCAGCCATCGCACTGAACCCTAATCAGATCCAATGGGTTCCATTTTCACATTAGCAAATTTCCTTCCCTCTGCTGGGAAGTCCGTCCAATTCCAGCCGAATCTTCAACAAGAATAGCATTCTGCAACCAAAGAACCCAATATGGACGTTTCCATAAATGGTAGTACCCTTAAATCATCCATTTTCATAGGTTTTCCATTATAAACAATCCATTTTAGGGTACCACCATGAATGGAAACCCCAATTTTTTACGTCAGGTTCACCAAAATTTCCACACGCTCCCATCCTTCCTGCAATGGAACACTCCGTCACTGAACTTCGCACGGGCACTTTACTTGGCATCTGAGCGCCAGGAGACGGGCTGCAAATGCCTGGGCAACCGATGACTGCCATGGGAGAGTAAGGCACCATGGCACCACGGTGAAATAAAGCCCCATAGGTACCATGATAGTAGAAAAATGAAGTGAAATGGTACTACCATAATAGTGGAAACATGTGGAAACCTCTACCATAAATTGTGCCCATAAATTCTACACTCATTGAGTGAAACTGCACACCCACGTGGCCAATGTGAATGCCAAACGCAAAAATTTTGGAAGTTCACCATTTGAAAACGAAAATGCACAGACACCGTCAAACCTAAGAGGGTGCCAAACAAAAAATCAAAAAAGGTTCGTTCTGCGTGTCTTTTAATAAATTGGACTCAATTGTTTTCACTCCATCCTCAACAAAAAACTACACATTCAATTTGTCGTTTCATCCCTGTATCCACTGTGGGCAAAACCCTCGACTGCACTCAACGTGTTCTGCACCTGATGCAACTGCCCCCATGGTTGGTGACCTGCAAAAATCAGCTGAAAATTCAAATAAATTCAGTTCAAACAAAGTTGCACTGACACTGACAGGGTGATTTTGTTTTTTCTGGGAATCAAACGGGATGTTGCGAGTGCAGAAAATGATGTCAGGCCAAGAAGCTGCGGGAATCATTGCAAACATGCAGTTGTTTGCACAACATTTCACCACATGTTCGGTTTCAAAATAAGCAAGGCGCTACACAACTAAATGTTTGAACCGTGACTCTGCATTTTCCCAAAAGGAACAAACAAATGTTTTGCGTGTTTAGGCCTAATCATGTTTTTGTTTTAACCTGGTGTTTTCATAGACATGTAGTTGCATGTGCAAACCGCGGGAAAAAATTGACGTCAAATTTTGAGTGTACCATGGCAAGCGTATAGAACAGCCCGGCAAATGGATCATCAAACGATCCCCCTCGGAATTTGGTTTTCAAGTTGGACTTATATAACAGTGCACTCTTTTGTGAAGGCTCAAAAAATGGCATATCTACCAGTAGTACCGCACAAGGCGGTGGCGGAAGTTTCAAAAATAGGAAACCTATGGGACAGGTTGGTTGTTGTGAATCACGGATGTCACAGCGAATCCACTGATGGACCGAAAGGTGGTTGAGGTCTCCTCTCTTTCTCTCTCTTTCTCTGACTATCTACCTACCTACCTACCTACCTACCTACCTATCTGTCTATCTATCTATCTACCTATCTATCTATCTATCTATCTATCTATCTTTATGGCACAACTAGCGCACAATGCTCCAACGCGTCGCGCGTTACTAGAAAACAAACAAACGAAACATTACGAACCACGCAACGACCTCTCAATCTCAACTCATCGGTCCATGGACCAGTTGATTTTTTTTTTTAATCGTTCTTAATCCTCCCATTTGATATTACGCACTTTCTTTTTCTCGGGGACAAATCATCTTAATTCATAATCCATCCATATGCATCTTTGCGCATCTGTGCAATACCAACCCGACACAGGTTGCATCCATGCATTGAAAAAATAACTCCACCACACAGGTAGCATAACACGACCTGTACACTGACATGCACAAAATTGGCGCTCAGAGAAGCGCATTATAGCGACGGACAAACACTTAGAACATCATTTGGAAAAAATTTCTGAAAATCGTCACAGCGGGGATGTTCTAAGTATGGGTTTCAAAAAAAGTAGTTAGAACATACCCAAAACCTATACTTAGAACATTTCCAAGCTATACTTAGAACATCCCAGTCGGGACCAATGGGAACCATAGGAAACCCACAAACCCACAAATTACTAGAGACCTTCCCATTGCAGCGAAGACTGCTTGGGATATTGTTCCCGAAGAAAAGGTATAGAATGCTGCAGCAGTGAGGGGAGAAAGTGTTCTAAGTATGGTGTTCACCAAGGTATTTGTGTGTATATATGCAGATTTACCAAAGTAACAGGACATGTTCTAAGTATATGTGTGTTTTAATGTTCTAAGTATGCAAAAATCAATGGAGATGTTCTAAGTATCTGTTTTTCTGATGTTCTAAGTGCGTACTTAGAAACATTTCTGATGTTCTAAGTATGGTAATTTTGATGTTCTAAGAGTAGGTTTCGAATTTTTGGAAAAAAATTGATGTTCTAAGTATAAGTCCGTCGCAATATGCAGAATGCTCAGAGCCGCAATACGGCAGAATCATCAATACGGCAGATGCAACAATACGGCAGATCAAAACCATATACGGCAGAATCATCAATATCGTAGACAAAGTCAATGCCATATACTTCAAGCCAAATACGGCATAAAGATGCATAGCCGTCCCAAAATAAATGTGATAGAAAAGCCCAAAAAGGGCAAAATGTTATAGATGTGTGCCGTGTTGTGGAAAGACCACAAACTCGATGAAATACCATGCATAATAGTTCGATGCCACAAAACGGTGAGATGGCCCAAAAGGGGCGCCATATACCACAAATCATAGGATGGTATACCACAATCGCACTGAATACATTGCATATAACGAAGTCAAACGCGAATGCACATAGCCAGAAATCATCGCCACCAGGGGTGGCATATAGACGGGAATCAAACTTCAGCGAAAAGGATTCCAACGTTGGGTTTCGTCCGAACCAGCCAACCGTCTCAACAGAAAAGCACAAATGCCCCCAGCATCGAATTGGGTACCATCGACCGGCCAATTAACCTGCTGCTCAATTTCAGAGGCGAATCTCTTCGACAGTGTAACTCATGTCCTCAGTTGAGGGCATAAGCTTGACCAGGCGAGGGTACTCTCTCGCGCAATACACCTTCCTTCATGCTCCCGCCTCCAGTCACGAGGGTGCAGGAGCGAGGGGCACCTAATCAACACCCACAAAAAGCCCCCAGGGCCGAAGCCTTTGTTGCCATCAGATACAACCAGATACCCGGAGGGAGGGACTAGCAAAGCACTGACTGGACCAGAAGGCACCGGGCCAACTAAAGGGGGGTGAGGCAGGAGGGGGCAAAGCCAGGAAAGAGCGGGCCAAACCGCAACAACCCAAAACACCAAGAGCAAAAACGAGCAAAGCAACCGAGGCGGAAAACAGAGCATCTCTGTAAAATAAGCTGATCAGGAAGACGTTCAATCAACTTGAACTCAGTTCGTCGGGTACGACTGCGAGGAGGATTGACAAAATACCACCAAGCACCAGCTTAAAAGGGCTCTTGATCGAATGTAAACGTGGCATACGTGGTGACAGCAAAGAAAATTGTCGCAGCAAAATTTCATTGGAACTCTCATCAGAAGAGCTCACATCACGCAGAATAGGCCGAGCTCGTGCTTTAGACGAGGAAGCAGCCATATAATAACCTGTAAATCAGGGTGCGAGGGTGTGTGAAAAAAAAAGAATCATCCAGTTATTGCACAAATGATCAGGCCGGGTGAAAGCGATGACCTACCACCCGCGGAGAGTACAGCCAGTTCCTCCGGAGGCTACAGCCACCGAGTCGCCGTAGCACGCTCCCCAGCGCAGCCGCATGCGCACTTCCAATAAGTGCAAGCGGGCAACGTGAGGTTCCCACGGTTGCCACTCACCGAGAACCGGCACCGGTGCTACATTGACCCACGTCATAGGTGTTACCGGTCAACATGAGGTACTCATGGTTGGCCAGTACACCTTTTGACCCAGCAGAGGTGGTGAGGAATTATAATGCACTTAACTGGTAGACTACACACAAGGGTAGGAGTGAGAAGAAGATTGGAATGGGGGGGTGGCGCGGGTTAATAAATAGACACTATTATAAACTAGTAGTTTCTAGCTTAGGATGATGTCAAAGCACATCAAGCCATGGAACCCGTTGCTGTTTGCCCGAACTTCAAACCAACATCCTTACCTACCGAATACGACTTCCAAATGGACGTCATCATTCCACCCTTGCTCAAATGAGTAGATGACACTGCCGTTGATGAATGGACTGCGCAGCCGCTCTACAACTGCAGAACACCCCGCGTGTAGTTTTGGCTTTTTTGTTTGCCCGCCCGACTGCAATGGAGGATGCTGCAGTCAATCGCCTAGCAAAGTCAATTACTCAATTGACACTGTGTCAAGTCACTACAGACGAAGTTGATGCCGCCACCCCATGAACTGGCACCTGTCACGCCTCGGTTTGGCGGTTTTGTCTTGTGTTGCTGTGTTTTGTGTTGTTTTGGTGGGTTTGCTTTTGGTTTTGGTTTTTTGGTTTTTTGCTTGTTTGTGGTGACTTCGTGACGGCCTACTGGACTGTGCACAGGTCCATTACCAGTTCACTCTTGAGGCCCCTCAATATGCAGACGGCCATGTGTATGCGTTAATTAACTAATGAACCCTATTTTGCAACATGCAATTGAACGTGTTGAACGACCTGGCGGAAGCCATGAAGGCGTTGGACGGAAAAAAAAGCGAGGGTGTGGAAAAAAAAATCCAACTTAATCGAACAACACTGTTTCAACAGATCCAACTTGATCCAAAAAGATAGATCTTCAGCTCCACGAAGTTTTTTTTCCGTCCAACGCCGTATGGCTCTCGCCAGGTCGTTTATCAATCCGGACAGCTAGTTGCATTTTGCAAATTCCCCGAATTAATGCAGTCATGATGACAATGTGCTGGTCAGGGTTGTCAGCGCTGCCCCCACCCCTTGCCCCCCACTTTCCTTGCCTGGTCGAGTCCCTTGTAATAAGCTCTGGCTTTTCTGGCCGCAGACTGTCAGGCTTCCCCCTTAACAACCCAACTGTTGTCCACTTTCTGGGGCCTTAGAACTGCTTGCGTTCGGTTTTTCTGACCGCAGACTGGTCAGGATCTCCGTCGCTTGCATACCTACTGTAACACTCACTCAGAAGTGGAAACTGCGATTCTGGCTGCTAACTGGCCAGGGGTGTGACTTCTACCACAATCTAGATGGCACTACTTACTCGACAGCAAGCTGCACAATCATGGGTTGAGGCAGATCCTACGGTTCAGTTCGGAGCTTCTCCATGCCTGGAACACTACAAAGATGTCTCCACGGAATATGGGTTAAACCTCTCTGTCCAGCATGGCTGGCGATTTGGTGACCCTCACAGGAAAACGGCAGCACCTGATCGGACATTATTACGACATCAAGCACTCCGATGGCATCGAGCTGTCGCCAGGGCCCCGGTGGCACAACCTCTATCGATGGATAGTCAGCCAGGCATCTGAGTTCCTATCCTTTGAGACAGTGTATCTAATTACAGATAACCGTGACCTTTTAGCCAACACGGTCACACGGATCCGGGGCTAAGCCACTGGCCGGTGGTTGCTGCCTGGTGGAAAGAGAGGATCAAGTATGTTGGTGTAGAAAAAGCGCCGTGCACAGATCTGCGGTCAGATCTAACCCTTCTTCAAAATTCCTACAGAACTACGCAGGCGGACGCGTACGTCAACCACGCACACCAAACACAAGCGCAGAGCGTAAATTCACGAACCTAATTAAACTAAAGCAATACCGTGTCAAAAGGATTGTTTCACCCTCGACTCCCACATGCTGACGTCAGGCCTCTTCTTTTCGCTCCAGACGCAACACGATCAGTCACGGGGAAACACAAACACAACAAACAAACAAAACCAACAAAAGGAGAAGAGAGGATGTGTTCCCTG